TCTGTGGAAATCAAACTGAAGTGCTACTTGTGACACTTTATAGACTAGAAACAAAATGTGGAAAGACCTGGTGTGACTGGAACACACCTGGCAGCTGAAGATGAGTGCATCCCAACATTGAATATAGTTTGGGGTACTACCCTACCCCATACTACTATATAGTTAACTACCCACACATTACACTTTGTTGCCCAATCTGCAGATGCACAATCCTTACAAGTCAAACCTCATTGTAAACTGCACTAATCAGGTTTTTCTACCTTAAGGGAGTTATTGCCAAGCAGCATTGTTACATTGATAAAATTATTAACTGAACTAATATTTTCTTACATTTTTTGCCAACCATAGGAGGGTCATGTGGGCACTTGACATAACTCCGTACAAATTATTTCATTTATTAATTAACCTTACTTGTGTTTTAATTATCTGAGGAAAATTTGAAGTTGAACAGCCAGGTTCTGCTGAAGGCTGTGGGAGTGTTGCCGTGGTGACTGTTTTGTAGAGTGTTTGCGAGGGTTTCAAGCGCCTGCAGAATCTGGGGGCAGGGATGCAAGGAAGTGTGTGTGTGTGTGTGTGTGTGTGTGTGTGTGTGTGTGTGTGTGTGTGTGTGTGTGTGTGTGTGTGTGTGTGTGTGTGTGTGTGTGTGTGTGTGTGTGTGTGTGTGTGTGTGTGTGTGTGTGTGTGTGTGTGTGTGTGTGTGTGTGTGTGTGTGTGTGTGTGTGTGTGTGTGTAAATCAGAGTTGGCAGGAGCTGCTGGAGTGACCTAATGCACATCTGCGTGTGCTTGACTGATCAACAGAAAGACTTTATTCTGTGAAAAGTTCCACTTATGACTTTGCAGAGAACTGAAACTCCTGACTTTGTGTCTAAAAGTCAAATAGTAAATGGGTTCACACTGCCTGAGTGTCTTGGTTGGTGCTGGGATGATGGAGTGACTCCCACCAGCTTGCTGCCTCCACCAGCTGCTCCTGCTCTGAGTCCATATCTTATTCATAACCTACAGGACAGAAACCAGATCCCTCATTATTCCTGCAGACTTGCTATCAGACTGCTGCTCTTAATCTGTCTTTAACACAGCCAGAAAATAAAAAGTGCTGCAACATTTCAGGTTCTGCTTGGCTCAGATATGTTATTTGGTGTTTTTGTATGATAGGACTTATCTTTATGCTTCAGCTCAAAGCTATCAGAGAGACTCTCTGGGCAGAAAATTACTTTAGTTTTTAAAGTTTGAAATGATCTTTTTCTTTGTTTTAAATGTAACCCATGTGTATAAAAAGTCATTTTTTTCTTTCCAGTTTATCTAATAAAAGAAGCATAATCATGCCCATAAACTTTTCTTATGTGTCATTTTCATTTGTTCATTTTTATTTTAATTATGTTCCTGCAGCGGGAAGCTAAAATAATCACATTTAAAACTCCTTTTGCCTTCATTAGATTGAAACAAACTAATAGCAGTATTAATAGAAAATATGCAAAGATTCAATAACAATAAAAAGAAGAAAAGTGACAAATATTCTTAATGAATTTAAGGCAAACCTGTACTTTCTGTAGGACATTTTATTTTAATCTGACTAATCAGGCACACACGGAGACCTTTAATATTGAACTTGATGCTTAGCTTTCAAGAAAAAAATGTATATCACCAGAGGTGGAAAGAGTACTAAAATGTCCTACTTAAGTACAAGCACTAATACTTTGATTTTTTTTTTACTCAAGTACAAGTAGAAATATTTACCAACATTTTTACTCAAGTTACTTTTTATCAGTGTAAGGATGGCTACACCTAAGTAGTGCAAAATCACAAGGCTAGCTCACAACACACTCATGTGTGCACATGTATGCACGCACACAGGCACACACACACTTCTCCACATTGTGTGGACCAGCAAAATGTCCTCACAATGTGGAAATGTCCACACGTTACAGGTTAAAAATCTAAATGTGTCCACTTAAACATATAAAGACAAGTACACACATGTTGTGGTTATTAGCCAACAAATAATTTGTAAGCTTTACTCACTTTATGGATTCATCAATAAAATTTGTAAATATGGAAAAATTTACAGATTTATTACGTAATTAGGATATCCGTGGATATGCCTCGGGGCACCACCCCTTTAATAGGGGAAAAATGAATCCAAACCTCTATCAGTCTGTCTAAAGTTTGTAAAATTATTTTAACAAGCAGGAGTCATATTCTATCCAACACAGACAAATTCACTTGAGACAAAACTTAATTGGCAATAACATTTATTAACTAATATAATCACTTTAGCTCCTTCAAAGTGCTAGCCAATCAGTATCAACCAACTGATTTTATCAAACAAACAACAAGCAATGAAACCATGAAAAGATAATGTGAAGTAACAATCTAATCAGACCGGTGGGGTGAGATGATGATGTGATCCGCGATAGTGAGGCTGCTTGATGATGTAATCAGGTTGCGATAGGCTGATTACCAAACTGGAGGGAGTTTTAAAACAAAATGGCGGATCCTTTGTTTGGCTGACCCAAAGGATCGAACTATGTGTGTGTGAGCAAACGTTCACAGTAAACCTATTCAAAACACTTCAATTCGCTTTACAAAGATCAAGAAAAAAAACAACAGACCAGTCATAAAAGCAAAACACATATCTGAACAGTCTGTCAGCCTGGCCACAGCATAAACAAACTTAGATATTAAACAATAAAAGGAACGGCTTGCTCTGAGATGATCCGTTGGCGTTTTTAGTACGGAGGAAAGAAACTGTTTGTTAATTTAAAGCGGTCACGTGGTCGACCGCTTGTTTCGGACTGTTAGAGAAACGGGAGAGAAAGAGAGAGAGAAAAAAGAAAAAAAATCTTGAATGAACGAACACAAGGCGTCCCTCCGTGTTCGGGCTGAGCAGATCGGATGGCGTTGGTCCGTCTGTCTCAGCAGCTAGGCCTCAGCACACGCTGTCCGGAGCGGTACGAGCAGAGGCGGTGGGGTCTCCTTTCGCCAGATGAACTGGACAGGAAGAGAAAGATTTCCGCTCTGCGCCTCGGCTTTGTAGACTCGTCCAGCGGGCGGTCCCTGTATGGGCCGATATCCACTGGCGGCATGTCAGACTTGGCATCACGTGATGACATCATCAAGCTGCTGCCGGCTGCAGGGAATCATGGGACATGGAGTCCCTGCTGGCACTGATCTCAATATGCCTTATTTGTCTACATGAGGGCAGGACCCCAACACACACACTGCATCATTTTAGAATATTTGAATGACCAATTTAACTGCATTGAACTGCTTTTGTAGTAACTGAATCTTTTATTCTTGAGTAAAATAAAGAAACAGGCTAAATCATGACATCTCTGTGGCATCAAGAAGCAACTTCTGAGTTCAGTCACACAGAAGGGATGGAGCACGTGATGTTTACAACTGAATTAGCTCCAGTATTAAATGTTGATTTGCACAAACATGATGTTTAAACACACAGAAGCTGCAGGTTTCCTGTTCTATGAGCAGAACACTCTGGGAATCAGTTGTATAGGAATGTTGTTTTGCTGCTGCTGTGAGGAGCAGTTGAGGAAACACATTTTAAAGACGGAACCGATTCCGGCTACCGAACCGAGCAGAATACTGACGTAACAGCAGTGCGGGAAGGTGCCGGGTTCCATCTAATAGGAGAGGGAGAGAGGGGGTAAACTGCGAATGCATCACAGGGATTGGGCTGATGTTTCTGAGCAAAACTGCAGGAAAAGTGTGGCTGTTTAACGTCCTCATTTATAAAATTTTACACCCATACCCCCGATGGGTGAGACACAGCGCTCATGCAGGAGTCTCTCTTTCTGTTCCGATGCTGCAAAATGCAATATTTCAAATTTATCATTAAACCTATTTACCGGATATGATTGAAAATGGAGTGAAGTACAATTCTTAAAAAAGAACTTACTTTTAGTATAAATACTTTTAAGTATAAATACACAAAAAAGCTCCTCAATTACAGTAATGCGAGTAAATGTAATTTGTAACTTTCCACCTGAGTAAATCACAGTATTGTGTCTGCCTGAAGAATCAGCTACGTGCAAAGTGTTAAAAAGGTGTTTATAAGGTTTTATATATTTAAAGAAACTTTTCTTTTCAGAATCAAACAGAAAGTGACACCATGACGATGTTTTCCCACAGTTTTTAAGACGACTCTTCTTGCATCAGATATTTAGGTCAGATAGGTCATGATACAGCCAGCAGGAAATAAAAACAAGTGGATCTGACTTATAAAAAAGTCATGTTGTGTTCTGCTCAAAAGGACCTGAAACACAGGAAATGATATCCAACATTTACTGTACAACTGATAATTATTCTGAAATTTGCTGAGCGACGAACAACATTTCCTGTTGTGACACACATTAAAGTTGCACTCACGCAAAACTTGTTGTCAATAACTTTGAAATCAGAGATGTATACGTTCTGGCACTTTGCAGATTTTAGGGCTTTTCTTTTTTTAATGACAAAATTTAAACTACCAGAGGAAGAATGTATTCATGACAAACGAAAACAGACAAAAATCAGAAAACAGGGACATGAATGTCAGGTTCAAATGCTGAGCTGTGTTCTAAAGCAACACAGAGTCAAGAGGCCGCATTTGACATTTATGCTTTCTCTCTGCTACTAATAATATTCATCAATAGGCAGAAATCATCTCGATACTTTCTGCAGGAGTTAGGGAGAACAGAAAGGTCCTAACCCACAGGACAGTGTGGACTTTACAGATTCTCATTAGTAAAAAGAAAAGAGATTAACTACAAAGGAAACAACAATGCTTGATTACTCATTAGCATCAAGTAAACAACTACAACATCTCAGAGATGCTGATTACACTTCCCTCAGAAACACAATATGTGCTCACAATATTGCCTCAGATCCACTGTTATGATATCATCTTACTTTCCCCTTGGGAGAGTCACATGACCTCTGAGAGGATGATGAGGGGGGTCAAAAGGCTTCAATGAGAACCACATGTAGGGAGGGGAGAGCTGCGACTAAGCAGAGAGGGAGAGGCCAACGCCAGTTAGAGGACCAAGGGAAAAGAGAGCAGCTGAAGGAAAGTTCTGAGTCTACAGAACCAGAATCAGGACCAGAACCAGGACCGAGGACCAGGAGCATGTCAGAGTCCATCAGGAGGAGAAGCTCCAGCAAACAGCACCTGCAGAACCTCATCAGGTGAGAGAAAAGTTTTTTTTTTAAAACAAGATCATCTTCGTTTCATCACCTGCAGGGTGCTTCAAAATTCATGAGAACTTTAAAAGAGTAAACGTCACAAAGTAGCTTTACTGTTGCCATAACTAAACCAGCTTTGGACAGAAAATGTTCATAACTAAAAGCATTTTATGTATAAACCAAAATCATTTATTTTAGTATTTTGATTTGTATTTCCTTCAACTCAAATGACTCAAGTTTCTTTGACAAATAGTTTCATTCAACAAGGAAACAGTTTAATCATGTGAAACTGATACATTTGGATAATTTCTGCTAATCCTAATTGAAAATGACCCACTTTCCCTTAAAGTTACAGAATATTGTGTTGTAAAGAAACAAACAACAAATATCTCAATGAAGGATTTAACCAATCAAGTTAAGCCACTCAGATTTAATAGCACAACTTGTTAAATCCACTTTTACACTTGGATAAATGACTGGTGACACAGTTGGTGGTGAGTAAATGCTTGTGCATCACACTGAAGAGTTTGTGATGTTTCTTATTCCCACATAACTACAAACGTGTGTGAATGCTCCAACCTCAGGGGTAAATATGTTTCATTATCAGCATAAATAAAACGTCTGCTCAGCAAACATGACTCATGACAAAGGTCACAGCAAAAGGGAGATTGAGAAGATGAATATTTTTGTGTAAATATTGTTGTGTTCAGGTTTTTAAGTGGAGTTCCTTACAGTTGCAAGATACCTTACTCAGCTGGAAGGGCCTGATTAGAATCCTTCTGCATCGCCTCTGATTGGAGGAATAGAGGCCATGTCCTTCAGGACAGATGGACTCAACTGCTTGTCCCGTGCAGGCTCAGCCATGATGTTACCTGCAAATGCTTTTATTTAACTCTTTCTTGTAGAATATTCTGTTTATTTACAAACATAAATATCAGCAGATCCAGCAGCACCTTGATGCACCCACGGGTGACAACAGTCTTAATGAGAATTTAGAGAAATTATTTTAAATGGATGAAATTCAGCTTTGAATGAGATCCTGTTGTCATTAGATTTGTGAGAAATCTCCCCGATTCTCCAGACTATAAACACTCTGACCGCTGTCTACTGCAAGTGAGATACTGACTGATCTGAAACAGTCAAACAACCTCAGTCTCAACTCGTTCAGGGCAGAAACGTACCCTCACAAACAGGTACAGCAGCAGACTAAAGATGTAACAAAATACATTGAATTATTTACTTAATTAAATACATTTTTAGAAAAGTTCTTTTTTTATTTGTTACATAAATTCTTTAAATAACCGTCCACATCTTTTCTCCACACTGCTGCCATTAGAACCACGTGACTAATAAAACTAATGTGGCCAGTTTCTGCAAGATTCCTTAAAGCACAACAGTAGAGGACCTGATTTCCAATTCTTACATTTGGATTTGTGTTCAGTGAGAAGTTTTACATGGAAATGCTGTTAGACTAGCCTGGCCTGCCAGACTCCTCCTCTGTTTAATTCTGCACAGAGAAAGGGTCTGGGAACTCTCCTACTCAAATATCCCCACACCCTGAGAATTCTAACCGAGCCAGTCAGCGCTGAGTATCGCACATCACACCATAGATATGTATATATAAATGTTTATGAATCACACACCATAACGGCGAGGTTGTCATAAACATGTTGACTGAAGTGGCATTCGCTGTGGCTCTTTCCACTGTTCCAAATGACTCAAATGTCTTTAAAACCACAAGTAGAAGCGCTAAACGCATTTCTTCTAAAAAAAAAAGATGTTTGCTTCATTGCCAGATGCTATGTTTTTACTCCAACTAGAAAACTACAGCATCATGCGGTACAGTCGGGATTTCCGTCTTTTTTTCTGATTGGTAATTTTTGATCTGCCTAGTCCCGCCCCTCAAGTGCCTCTCTGCCTGTGAGTTACCAGACTCATTCTCTGGGCAGAATTAAACAGAGGACGGGTCTGGCAGGCCAGGCTAGTGTTAGGCATCAACTGTATGTAAGATGAGGCAAGAGAGTTGAGTTGTTTCACACCTCATCAGCACTAAATAACATCCAGACTAAAACAGCTGTGTTTCCTGTTGCAGCAGGAACTAGACTAAACTAAAGTTTCCTTTTCATTTACAGTCACGTTGTTATTTAATGCTCCCTGTACTCAGGTGGTGACACTCTGGACTGGTCCGAGTCTCTGATTGTACTTTTAGATTTGCTCATCATCTCATCTAACTGATGCTCTTCATTGTCAGATTTCCTCTGAGCGGTGGAACATTTCTGTGTGACTTCACTCAAAATGACACTGACCTCTGGGCTCAATGCTTCTTTTATTGCTACAACTTCCCCAACAGCCATGACATCATCTGGCTGGGTCCAGAGCCCCCCTTTTTCTAACACACGCACACACACACACACACACACACACACACACACACACACACACACACACACACACACACACACACACACACACACACACACACACACACACACACACACACACACACAAAGAAAATGTCGTGTACCAGACCTCCATTGCCTCATTGTGTAAATGATGGAAAATGTGACGTGTATGAGACAGATCTCCTCTGTAGTTTGCTAGTTTCACGTTGGAGCTTCACAGCACCGAGTTAAATGTCCCTGCAGACATTCAGGACACCTTGAATCTGTATTAAAGCTGTTGTAACACACGTGCAGGAGCCCAAACTTTTATTGTAAAGGTCCAAATAAGTCAGACAGGACAGTAAACTGAGCACAATCAGCCTCCTCCATAGCACACAATGTTTAGAATCCATTTAAAATTTTTTTAAATATTTTATTTCATTCAAAATGTATAAAATAAACACAAACAAATACAGGATACATTAACACATTGAAATAAAACATTTGAATGAAAAGGAGCAGATAGAAGAAAAAAATCTTATGATTTCTGCCCCTTTTTATGAAATAAAATGTATCCGCCAAACAAACACATTATAACCTCAGTCACTTTCTAATGTTATCATGTCTAATCTTTGACATTATAATTCTCCTTTTCATAATTACTAAATACATTAGATTTTATACATTTTTTAAATATAGCAAGTGAAGTTGATTCTTTAAATTCCTTGTTAATGGCATTCCACAATCTTACACCATTTACAGAAATGTTACATTCCTTCACTTTGGTTCTGAATCTAGGTTTCTCAAAGACATCAGCTCCTTTTAACATGTATCCACTTACTCTCTTATGAAACATTTTCTGAATATTAGTTGGTAGATTACTCATATTCGCTCTGTACATTATTTGCAATATTTTCCACTCTACTAAGTCAGGAAATTTCAGTATTTTGTATCTAATAAATAATTGATTAGTGTGATCTCTATAGTTACTATTATTAATGATTCTCAATGCTCCTTTTTGCAAAATGAACAATGGTTGTGTAAAAGTTTTGCAAGTGGCTCCCCAAATTTCCAAACAATAAAATAAATATGGTTCAATCAGTGAGTGATGCAATGTTAATAACCCCGACAAATTTAGTAGAAACTTGACTCTATATAATACAGCTATGGCTTTGGCGATTTTCCCCTTTATATAACCTACATGTGATTTCCACGTAAGACTCTCATCAAACATGACTCCAAGAAATTTGGTTTCTTTTACTCTTTGAATTTCCATTCCATCTATCATTAAAGATACATCACAGCTTCTTCTATTATTAAACAGTATAAGTTTGTTTTGTTCAGGTTCAGTGACAGTCTATTTATATCAAACCATTTTTTTTACTTTAATCAATTCACTGTTTATCACTTGAGTTACTTCATGTGCATTTAGTCCTGAATAAAACAATGTAGTATCATCCGTAAATAAAACTGTGCCAATTAAATTAGATACATTTACCAGGTCATTAATAAACAATATGAACAGTTTAGGTCCGAGGACTGACCCTTGTGGCACACACATAAGAAATATCTTTAAATCCAGATTTAGCATTATTTATTTGAACAAACTGCTTCTGTTGCATAAATCATGCATTAGATGGAAAAGGATCATTTTCTTTTTTTTTTCTTCTGTACGGGTCAACAATTATAAAATAAAACTTTTAAAATGTTAACCACACTTGACAACATTTGTTTTTAAAGGTATATAAAAGTAGCATTCAGAATAGAATCTTAATTGGGAAAGTAACATCCATTTGTGCAAATCTAAATACAAATATGGCAGTTTGAAACTCAGTATTTAGCTAACATGCTGATTCAGACCACCCAAAAATAGAAGTAGCCTACCAAAATAAAAGTATGGTGAAAAAAATCCCCCATGTGAAATTTGAAGCTGTTTCATGCTAATATTTTCAGTTCATTAAAACTTTGTAAATTTTTCAACCTGCAGGGGAAACAGGAGCATTTATAAATTATCTTAATTTGAAAAGATTTACATGATCTTACCATCCAACAGACTCTGAGGTGTTAGATTGGGATCTCTTCACCATGCTTTTATTTTGGTAGGATGGCTCTGTTTAAGTTTGAAACAGCCACATGAATATAAAGATGTAACTTTTAATAATATATTTAGATTTGTTTTGAACTGCTTGAATTTGTGTTGCTACATTTAGATGTATGGAGGAAACCTTCAGCGGAATGATGAAGACTCATCCTGACTAAACCAAAACATTCCCAACAAGAGGTTAAAACATGAAGTCAAGACTGCATTTACAAATATTTTGTTTCAGATGGAACCAAAACCCCTTCCAGGTAACTTAGATCCCAAACCAACCAGCTCTCTTCACAACTTGTTTTCTCTTCCTGATTTATGTTGTCTCGGGGTCACAGGTTGGTGCCTGTCAGCAGGCAAGAGGCAGGGTTAACCCAGACAGGTCACCAGCATCAGAGTTTAACACAGATGCATTAAACCACACAAAAACACTCACATTTCATCTTCATGTAACACCACCAGATAGCTAAACATGACTGAGCAGAACCATGAATTCAGAAGGAACCCAAAGATAAGTTTTACACAAGAGGTTCAAAATCGACATGTGTGATTTTAGAGACCACTTTTCAGTACTTTATGCATTCTGGAGACAAATATCCAAACCTCATAAACCAGTTTCTGTCTGTTCTAAAGGAATCCGCCTCAGAGTTCTCGTGACACTCTGAAAAGAGGGTTTGTTTTATATAAGCTACAATCAATGGCAGTGAAGTGGGTTAATGGGTTTACCCCTTCAAATCGTGCTTTAAGGCTTTTTACTACTTTCATTTTTGACATTTCATGCAGCTGTGACCAGACCCAGATCAAACCTGATCCCCAGCCGACCCATTCACCCCAACAGAGCCCTGACTGAGGAGCCACAGCAGCACTGTCACACATCAAACTGATTTCCAGCTGAACTTTAGACTCTGTAGTGGAATACAAACATATTAATTATGACCAATGAGATGTGATGATTCCATATAAATATAATAAATCAATCGTATTGATCTTTGAATGTTTAATCAGAAGATTCTAGGGATCTTCACTTATTCAGGGACCAGAAACACACTTCTTATTAATTCAGACAGAGTCAGGTATATAGTTTATGAAATTAATTTAATTATTTTTCCTAAACTAATGATACATGACAAGATATGAATAAGGAGATGTGGTGTGGTGGATGTGAGGTGTTGTGATGGAAGCTAGATGTTGTAGCAACTGTTCTTTGTGTCTGAGAGAAATTGTGAAATCTGGGTGTAAAAGAATTTGTTGTTTGTTTCTAGTTAGAGAGTTGTTCATTAAAAACAGCATCAGACGCAATCTCTCGTGCCAAGTCTACACACCCTTGGTGTGGAGGTTCTCATTCGACCCGGGGGGTCGAAGATGGAGTGAAACTCTGATATCAGGAACCTGTAGATAGCTCTGATAGGACCCGTCCAGTCTGAGACCCCTCGAGGTGAAGGTCGAAAGCTGGAATGCTTATTTGCGTCTAAGGCTGATGTTTGCATGGCTCTTAGAAGAACCGGTTGTCTGGTATCAGCCGCAGCGTTGCAGAGAGGCTTTGACAGGAGGTCAAAGGAGAAGATGGTTTCAAAAATGCTTCTTTCCCGAATTGGCTGGTTCGAGGGTCAGCGAGAAACTGAATTAATCGGGAAGTAAATCCTGTTTTATTAACCCGCAATGTTATGAGTTCTGGCCAAGTTTGGCAAATCAGAATTTGACACGTTTCTGAGTATTTACCATCATCCCTCAGAAAGCCACGCCCTCCTCAGACACTGTGAATGAGAATCTTTAAAACTCTTATGTGAGGCGCATATTAACCTTAATATGTATCTTATTGTAATGTGTATGAGTGTAAACAATGATTAACTGGTGACATCAAACACATACTGATTTTTGATATAAATGGGTAACACTTTATAATAACTACATCTTATTTAGCCTTAATTATACATGAATAAACATGTAACTACTAACACATAATTAATTGAATGGTAAATGGCCTGCATTTGACAAATTAATTAACAATGACTCTTACTTAATAAACAATTAACCAATGCATTAATTAATGCTTTGTTTTTAATGACTAGTCCCTTGTAAAAGCTGTTTATTCATTTCTTATTCATATGTAACAAACCATTAACAAAGTACTTTTAAGCAACTGACTAATACAATAATTAATGCTTAACTTCTATTGACTAGTTTCATGTAAAAGCTGTTTATTTATGGTTCATTCATACTTAAACCATGAACAATGTTCTTATCAATACATTTTTACCTACACTATTACACAATTTAGATATGTAATAATGATTTGGAGGTAATACATGATTACTAATTCTGCAATAAACTATTAATTAGGTGGATTGCTAATAGCTAATTAAGCCTATTTTGAGACTCTTTCTAAAGTGAAGACTATTTATTCTTAATTAAATATTTGTTAACATTTTTATGCTTTCTATGGCCCTTTTGTCACTACTGAAGACTATGACTTCAATGAAAATAACAATACATGACACTGGAATGAGGGAGATATCCTTTGCATTTACATTTTGTAAATTTGTATAATATACTGTATGTATAAAAAAATGAAACATGTGCCTCATGAACATACATAGCACCTGCACTGGTTAACGCAAAATTATTATAACAGACTGAAATATTTGCACAAGTGCAAATTATTGCTGTAGACGGAACACTGAAAACTTTTATAGAACACAACGAAACTGTGTCTCAACAGTGATCCTTTCTTTGTTATAAGCAGCATATCCCTGCTTGCATTTTCACATAAATAAAAACATTATTAAAAATACTAAAGCATAACTAAATGGACGAATAAAGTAAATGTTATAATTTTGTGCAGATTTTATCTTTGGAACACTCAAAAACTAAACAGATGCATGTTTTTCATTTTTCATTCAGAACAACAGATCAAGGTTTTATTTACCTTTACATGCTTCAAATACAAACATGAAGTGACACTTCTGAGGAAGAAAGCAAACTCCATCGAAACATGTAAAGATAAATAAAATCCTTGACCTTTTGCTCTGAACGAAAAATGCATGTTTGAAGAAAAAAACAAAATGAACATAAAAATATCAACACCTGCAATGGTTAACACAAAATATTCATAACAATATTGATTTTTTAATCAGTGCAAATAGTTGTTGTTGACAGAACTCTGAAATACGTTACGGGCAACAGTAAATCAGTACCTTGACAGTGGTCATTCTTATACTGTAAACATTACTCTGAAATACTTTGAGACACTAATGATGGAAAACAAGGGCTACACTTTAGATTAGAGAACACAAATTAACCAGGAATTAGCTGCCAATTAATATGCTTATTAGCGGACTACTAAGTCTGAATTAGTCATTATTAAGCTATTATTAGGTGTTAATTACCAATGCACTAATTCTAATATTAACAGGCCATAAATTAAGCATTTCATCAAAATAAGCCGTTCGTAATAGTTTGTTAACTGAAAGTAAATGATTGTTGCTGATTAACACACATACCAATTAGCTCAAATCAAAAGGTGGCTTGTAAAGAAATAACATTTAATAATTTACAAATCATTTATTACATGTCCATCTCAGTGGACAGCGTGCATACTGAACATGAAATATGTTGGCTTGACTTACCATATGGAGACGCTCAAATACAATAAGGTCTTCAACAGCTGTGCTTAATAGCAAAAATAAATAAATAACAATTTAGAGTACCTGTCCACTGTAGTGACTATTATGCATCAAAGGGTTAATAGTTCTGAATCAACAATATTATCCTTCTCCGGGCTTATAAATCAAGGCCGTTTAAACAATTCTCCATATTTTCATGTTTTAAATTAAACTGACCCACGATTGGCTCTTATCAAGACACATGATGGAATTAATTCTCTTTTTTTATTTTCTTTACTGGAAACACTAAATCCCCATTGTTTTTCTGCAACGCTGCTTCAGTGAAGAACAATCAAACCCATCATAATGATGACCTGCTGTTAAATCACCAAGCAATAACATTGTTTCTATTTATAAATACATCTATTGTAGTCATTATGGCAAAATTGTGATATGCTCTAATTTAAGTTCAATCTTTATCAGCTTTCTGGAATTGATCTCCAGAAGTCATGTCTGCTGACTCATGACCTCTGGTTCGAGAATATTTATTGATTTCAGATTTTTTGGCAATAACATACAAAACTAATTAAAAATAGATGTGTTTGTTTACAAAGTCAATTTTATTCCAATATGCTTAACTGCATCAATACTTTGATGCGTTGGAACATAGATTTTTTACCCTAGTCATTCGTTCAGCTTCTCCTTCGGCTCCATGTGTCTGAGATCAAGTGAAACAGCACAGCAGCTGGCTCAGGCTCCTCCAGATGTTCTTGGACAAAACAAGTAGTTATTGCCACTGAATTCAAACCTGCTGGAAACTGAGAGAGGAGACTTTCTTGATGTTTTCTTTATTTGAAATGCTTTGACATTTGAGAAAGTACTCCAGAAATCCTTATACAATTATGAGGAAAATATAAGCAATCAATTTCTAGACCTCAAATTTGGGTTTTTAGTGTGCTGAATCATCCCTCTATTCCTCCTTCCGTGGCTTTGTGTTACAGTTACACTGCATTAGTCACACTTTCAGAGCACGTTGACTGTTTTTCTTACAGTCTGGCTCAATAGCATGAAGATAAACCATGAAAACCCAATGTAAACTAGACAAAAGCTTTGAGTAAACTTAAACTTGCACTTCAAAGGTACAGGGAATGCAGCACAGTTTGAAATTTTAAGTTAAATGAAGCTAACCATCTCATTAATCACTGGATGGTTTTAATGAAACTCTCAAATCATTGGATTGACTGTTGGAGTTGGAAGGTCATCATCAGCAAACACAAAGATGTTTAAATGAGGTGTGATAGGAGTGAAGGGTCATCTCCATCACAAACTCTAAGCTCTACACGTTGTGCTAAACCGCGGCCTAAAACGGTGGTGCTAACCTTTTGAGTTGACTCAAAATGAAACAAGATACATGCTGACAAGTTGTTGGTGTTGATGCTCACTGCAGGGTGACGGCACAGAGGAGCCAGGAGGATGCTGAGGAGGTAGAGAGGGAGAGGAGGAGGCGAGCCAGGGAGATGCCCAGAGGAGAGCCCAACCAGAACAACCACCTCAACCACAGCACAGAGTGAGCGTGAGAGCAACACACTGCCTCTGCACTTTTTAAAGTCTGTAAATATTTCTCACTAAAACTAACAAATATGATGTTTTTTACTTCTGTAGACACGCTATAGGAGGAGAAACACAAACCAACTTCTTAGACCTGTGAGCTCATTTTACTATTCTGTAAATTAAAAAATGTGTATCACATAAAAATGTATTTGTGGATTAACTGCATTGCTAAATATCTAAACTTGTCAGTGGACTAGTGGTAGAGTATCTGCTCTGAGACTAGGAGGTCATGGTTCAAATCCCATTCAGGCCATACAAAAGACTTTAACAACAAGACCCAAGGCCTCCCTGCTTGGCACTCAGCTTTAAGGGGTTGGACTGGGGGGTTAAAAGTGGAGAGGAATTTCACCAGTGTGTGATGACTAATGAGACTAATTTTAACTTAAAAACATCAAATTTTCCATCTAAGTTTCAGTAAGCAGATATTGTTATAGTCATTAACTTCAAATCCCAGATTGATTGTTCATGGTTGCTGACTCCTACATCCTTAGAGATGAGATTTCACATGAATGAGTCACTCACTCACACACACACACACACACACACACACACAGAGAGAGAGAGAGAGAGAGAGAGAGAGAGAGAGAGAGAGAGAGAGAGAGAGAGAGAGAGAGAGAGAGAAATGTGTTTCTGTGCAGACACAGATGATGTCATTCATTACCACTGCTGGTTTTAATTTGCACACTTTCATGTCCAAAGTGTTGAGCATTTACATATGACAGGAAACCATCTTCAGGATAAGCTGAAGTAAAAGTCAACAAAACTTTTAAAACTTAACTGATCTTAAAGTGAAGTGTCAAGGTTTGGCGAGGAGACTTTGTGTTTCTAAGCTTCAGCTGTCTCTGTTTTTCATTTTGACTCGTTGAGAGGAATTCATGTGGATCAGTCTGAACAAGAGCTGACCTGAAACATGAAGCAGCATTGCCTCTCTGTTTGGTGTTGCCATGGTTTCTGTATCTGTTGCCATGGAGCTTAGAAACTCAGCTCCCGTCTGCCACCTGCACCACTTCTTTTACAGCCTTTGTGCAGTTTTAGACTCTCAGAGAAACAAAGCAGCTGAGCTGCAGGAGGAGGCAAACACTAGAAACAGTAGATCAGTTTGACTGTTTGCTCAGCTTCAACACAAACACTCCCCTGGTGCTCATGAACACTTGCATGGACTTTATACTGTCTCACGAGTCTCAAATTAAACATTGTACCTGTTTATGTTTCAAATTTATGAATGACCTTGCTGATAGCGTACGGGAGTACAGTGAAACTCACTCCTCCTCTTTTTTGATGGAGTGTGCTTTTAGAGACACAAATCACCTGCAGTTTGATTCTGAAATACTCCATTTACTTGTAAAGAGGGAAGAATCTGTCGAAGCACTACATTATAGAGAAAACAATCCCGTTGAGAGTGCCACAAAGACTCCCAGTATTAAACATTTACAGAGAAAGTGCATCACTATGAAACACACAGGGATATAAATCAAGATTACGTAATGTTTTGTGCTGCAGAACATTGAAGACTTTGCTTCTGTTCTCAGGTCTGATGAGGAGCTGAAGCTGTCCTGCTTGGTCCTGGAGGAGGACGAAGGCTTCAGCGATTGGAGCCACAGACTGGAAAACCGTAATGAACATAAGGTTCAGGGTAGAGAGAAAAAGCAAAATTGTTGTGCTCCATCAGGTCCGGTGGAGACCAAACAGCAGGAGGAGGTTGAAAAGGAGCATGAGCGAAGGAGCTCTAAGGAGGCATCAGCACAACACCCTGAGAAGGTTTGACCTAAATGTCAAATAGCAGATCAACGTTAAATCTGTGATTTAGTAAACATGCGCACCTGATTTCTTCCGTCATGTTGCTATTTCAGGAATCTGCCTCCCAGAACACGGGCAGGACGTCGTACAGCTCCTCTGCCTTTGTGTCTCAGGACACTGGGCTGCAGCAGGTTGCGAGACAACCTGTGACCAGGATGTCCGACCTGGCAGCAGGAACCATGAAGCCACGGTGTGTTTTTCACTAAACATCTGGTCTAAACACTCTCAAGTCCATATTGTTCCTCTTTTTGGTAAACCTGCAGTTTATATTTGAACAAGATTTCATGTAGGGTTAGGGTTTGTGGGTTTATAGTAAAAAACCAGAAACTCGGTTTTATTTAAGAGCTCATTAAAATTAAATAAAGTAAACATTACTGAAGAAAGACTCCAATGTTGTTCTTGTTGCTGTTGATGGAATAAAATGTATTGTCAGCACACGGAACACCATCAGCTTTTCTCCTCCTTAAACAAGCACATAAAAAAACTCCTACAAAGTTTTAAAGACCCTTTTCTACAATAAACCATTACTTTAAATTTAAATATTGTCATGTTCTGTGTCCCTTTGGTCCCCAGCCCCCTCCTGTTCTCCCTCCAGGTATCCCCTCAGGTCCTATGCTCCCTGTAGTCCCCAGCCCTTTTTGTCCCCAGCTTCCTCCAGGTTTCCCTCGTGTTCTCCTAGTCTATCCTCAGTTCTCGCTCCCCACTTTTCATAAATCCTCTAATATTAGCCTGCATTCAATTAACGGCCGGGTATCATATTTTGGCCGGTGTTGGAGTCGGCGAAGGTGAATAATGGCCGGTTTTTTATTGTGGCCGGGTGGAATGTGGTAACAAGCAAGTACGGGGGGCGGTTGTGTCATCCGTCTCACTTTTGATTTGCCAGTGATAGACCGCGAGGGTAACTTTAACCATGCGGAGACGAAGAGGAGGCGAAAATTTGATATCAAGTTCAAAGAGAACGTGCTGATTATGCTGCAGAACACTCTGGGGAGCAGTAGCAGGGGTTGTATGAACTAGTCGACTAGTCGACTTCACCGCTCTATAGTGACTTTTTATGCCTGTCATCGACTAGTCGCTGTCACGTGATAATGACCGGCAAGATGCAGTCCTCGGAAAAGACAGCAGCCTGCTGTCAGCAGGTGACAAGCTCCTGCGCGTCGGGAGGCAACGCGCTCTGCCAGAGCGTTGGTACCGACAGCCGCCGTAAAACGGACATTTAACCAAATTGTGACCTTTACCCTCTTGCAATTTAACCTTCCCCTCACCCCCATCCTAACCTTAACCAGCTTGCACATGCAAAGCTCTGATTGTTGACACGCTCCAGACATCTGCGTCCTGAGCACGGCCACAGTAACGTTATCAAATCAGGTGTCGCCACCTCAAAAACTAATTTAACACGTGATCGTTCATGTCGGCTCATTTCCTTTTATGTTTTCTGTCTTTTATTTGTGCCTGATGCTTTTCGCTGCTGTGGAGCGGGGCGCATCACCTGTTTTGTCCTCAGTGAAGCACCACTGATGTGGCCGGCGAGCAGCGCGCACTCCGTTGTTTTTGCGGTCGGTAGATCTTTTAGAACTGCAGTTCAAAGGTAACCTCATAAGGTGAATATATATGAACCCAGGTAGCAGTTTTTCTTTAGGATTGAGGAGATGCAGGAAGATAATAAACAGGCAGGACAGAAAAATGGTCAAATAAAAACAAGTTAGTTTTTGTACCTGGTGGTTACAACAAACAGACACCATTGAAGGTAATCAGAAGTGAGGAACAGAAAATGAAATAATTATTTTAATGTTTAGAGCAGCAGGAACTCTGAGAGGCTGCAGGCGCATCAGTGAGTTTGAGGCCGCTGCGCGGGGGTGGGGGGGGAGAGGGCTGAAGCAGAAACTACCGTTGCTAAAAGAAATGTGTTTAACTTTGAAAATGTGGGCGCAATTTTAATTGTCAAAAACTCCAGCGAACCATTAGTTCATTTTGCTCAAATAGAAATAGAGGCCTGCCTCTAATTCTGGTCCTCCTTCCAATGAAGGCCTGGAGCTTGATGAGCTTGAGTCAAATACAGGCCCGGGCCTGTATTAGAGGATTTACGGTAGATCATTTGTTTACTTATTTTTAGATTCCCTGTGCCTTTGTTCTACAGTGTTTAAGTTTAGTTTGGATTGTTTTAGTAGCTTTGGTTTACAGGTTTAAGATATAGTTTTCTCCCCTGCTTCTTTCTGCTTCTTTCCTTTGCTCACTTGTTTCACCTGCGCCCTATTCCCCACGCACCTGCTCCTCGTCTCCTAGTCACCCAGTCCCTGTGTATATAACCCTGTTTGGGGTCTCTCAGTGTTTGTCGGTCCATTGTCGTTGTCTGTTCTGTTCTGTTCCGTTCCTCCTCGTGAAACTCTAGGTTGTGCTCATCACAGAGCTTTATGTTTTTGCTTTTGCCAGTCGGGTTACTGACTTTAGGCTTGGCTTCCTGCCCCTTCTTGGATTTTTGGACATTGATTCCTAATAAAAGTATTTTACATTTTACTACGCTCTTGCCTTGTGTCGTTCTGGGTTTCTGCATCTTGGGTCCTGACCTCCTCCTGACTCAAACGTGACAAATATTGCATGTTCAATATATTGTTGAGCAGTTTGCAAAAAAGTTTCACAATAAAAGGCTTTTCTAGTTATATAACGTGAAACAATGACATTTTTGTGGCCCAGCAGTTTTAACGTGTCTCTCAGGAAGTTCAGTCATCACTGGTTTTGTCTGAGGAACATGTTCAAATTAATGTGAGAGGTTTAGAGTGAGTGCTGATTAAAAATCCACAATGTGTTTAAAATGATCTGCTTCAGCTGTTAGATGATGGGTGTAAAATATTCACCGATAATTTAGGTGAAATTATTTCATTATTTCAACACTTTCAGCAGGTACCAATTGATTTGTTTTTTATTTTTGTGGTTGTTGTTTTTTTTCTGTCACAGAAACTTTGACCAGTTTGCTGATCTTCACTTCGGAGGAGGAGCTTGCAGGATGGATGCGGAGGTGAGGCCGGAGGTGCAGGCCGAAGACGAGCAAGAGGGAGAGGAAGTGAAGCCAAGCTTGAGGAGGAAGACAACTGAACTCCTGCAGAACTCAGGAGAGGAAGATCAAGATGAGAAAGAGCTGAGCTTCACACTTGAAGAGGAGGAAAATCTTTATGTCAGGAGGGAGGAGAGGGAAGAGGGAGAGGAGGAGGAAGTTCAAAACAAGGTAAACAGCAGCTGATGTGGTTTGTTTTCTAAAGGCACACGTTTATTTATGTAGTAGACATTGTTAATGAACGAATGAATGAGTGAATTAATGAATGAACAGCATTTCATCAGTAAAGTCAATCACAACCACTAGATGAAGATGAGGAATAAAAACAGGTGATCCGAGCGTATTTTATTTTGATTTATGTTTCGGTCGCGTACGATGGGGCGTAAACTCAATACATCAACACTTCCTTAAGCTGACACTCTCACAAACGTTTACGAGTAAACATCATGACTCAGACTTAGGGTGAATTCAAACACATTTTAAAATGTGTGTCACTTAAAACTGTTTTTGTGGATTAACTGCATTGCAGAAAAATCTGTTTACTGTTTATTTATTATTATTTATTTGAAATGAATTTCTCTAAATTTGAACAGAATATAGTATGCAGATTTATAGAATGTACTTAATTTGAACAGAAAATGGTAGATTTACATCATTTTTGAAACTCTGCACTGAAAAGTGAAATATGGGTGATAATGTGTTTACTGGTGTTAATAACTGGAGATTTGAATGAAATGCTTAGAAAGTAAAAACTAGAGTTTCGTCTGCAGTGGTTAAACTTTAGAGTCAGTCTGATTCAAGATGCCACGTCTAGTCAAGGGTAGCAAACACAAAAACATGGTTTAAAATCAGTCAGTTTTGCAGATATTGAGTTTAAAGTCTGTGTAAAAGCAGCTGAGAGGTCCCCAACACAGTCATGCAGAGTAGTATTTTTTATTCCAACTCCATCATTTGACAGATAATCTTAGTTTGAAACTCTGCAATGAAGGTGGTGAGTGATTTGCATTCAAGTAATTTCTGACAACGTTAGCTTAGCTTTTTTTTATTATTATTAAAAGATAATATCACCCCACTTTAACCCCAAAGACCCATGACTGTAATATTACAACATCCCATTTATTCAACAAAAATAAAACTTTCTCTTTTTATTCTTTTAAAGCCACATTTACACTACAGATAAGTCCTATTTTTCACTTCTGCGTTACGATTGGATGGTGGAATGTGTATCGGGCCAAGCTGAACATGGAGACTTGCTCTGAAGAACATCACCCTGTTGTTTTGGAGATGAATCATCTCTGCTCTGTTTCATTACAGCGCTTTCTTCATTTAAACTCAGCAGGTTTGCATCATCTGCAAAGTTTAGAACACCCCCTGTTGCAGATATTTGTGACGTTATTATCAGACATTGTTTGATGTTAATGATGCTCAAATCATCTAGCATTCTACACGTGAAACAGTGTTTTCATGGAAATGAACACTAAGCACACACATGACCATCCTTACTTTAGGTCTGACAAAACCACAGTTTAAGTTTCACCAACTCCCCAGATGTCTGCAAAAACCTTTTCCTCAGCTGATTTAACAAATAGAAAAACCTTTTTCTCGTTCTCTCTACAAAACTTTTGGTTTATTTGGCCTCTTACTTTCTCAGACTTTCATTCAGCAGTTGTATCCTGACAGAACTCCAGACCTTCCCCCTTTTCTCTTGTGTTTCATAAAAGACTCAAAAACACGCAGAGCTGTTATAAAAAGGTTACAGATGACAAAATCTGGCTTCAAACCTGAAGGCAATAAAGCCAAAGAATGCTGTTTGGCTCCCAGAGGACAGAAGTGAAATGTAGCCTGACGAACGCAGCCATGATGTAAGACTCTGTAAGAAATTCCAGTTCCTAACACCAGCGGCTCTTATTGGTCCTCTGCCTCTAAACACCACATAATAGAGAGAATTTCCCAGTTCCTTTAGTTTGTTCATCAGGACAGAATCCTGCTAACTTACCTGTAAGTGAGAAACACTCGTTGTTTTGCTGTCTCAGAGACTCCTGGAGGCTCGGAGGAGGAGAAGCGAGGAGATGTACAGCAGATCTTCAGGGTCTCTCTTGAGCGGCAGTGAAGGCGAGGAGTCATTAAACTGCTATGGTCCCATGAGCCCAACCTTCAAGGTGACTCATAAAACCAAAGGTGGTCTACTGAACACCTTGTGTATCTTACAGCATGTCTTTCATGACATGTTTCTAATGTCTGGGTAAAGTCTGAGGATGCTGCTATTGGTTCAGAATATTAATAGATCTTTTCTTCTCTTCATGCTCCTTGTTGTTCCTCTAGAAACTCCTCATCCAGTTTTACCCTGTGAGTACTCATTTACTCTCACTGTTACTATGCTGATTATGTTTTCAGATGTTCCAAAACAGCTGCATGGAATCACAAGAAATGCATTAAATCAGTCCAATTTGCCCAATCAGCACAAGAGAGTTAAAAACACCTCGTCCTGTCTCAAACTCTAATCTGCTTGTGCCTGAAGGAAGCCAGCAGCTAATGAGGAACGCTGAGAACCCTTCAGAGCTAGACCACTCTAAACAATTAGATAAGTCTGGTTTTTAGGGAGTGAAAATTTAAAGAAAAGAGGATTAGATCAACTCAAAAGGAATTCCGACTTATGGTGTTTCCAGAACAAATGTATGTTCGTCACTCTTAACTCTTCGCTGCCAGCGTTTTTCAGCGTTTTAACTGTTTTTTTAAGAGTCACAGAATGTTGTGCGGTAGGATGATGTCAATGCCAAAACTACCAAAACAAAGCAAAGACTCACCTCTTACATCAGGAAGAATCAGCGCGTTTCAAGTGTTATCCGTTCTTTCATCATCCGTTGTTGAATTGGGATCGGCAGAAGCTTTTCCGGTTCGCTCCTCACTTATTTTACAGCAGCGGCCCAAAACGATCTAACACATGGATTTTCTGCTTCCTGATCACGTGAAGTGTGACGTAGGCGGATAAAGATCGGCTTTAGAGCTGGGATGTTTGTTGTCACTGTGCGGGGCTCGTTCCCACACCCATACAATAAAAAAATGCAACAGTTGGATTTAAAATGACGACTTTTGTCGTCAATGGCAGTTAATGAGTTAAAGGCCAAATGTTTTTTTTTTCTGTGGAGGAATGAGGAGGCAGCTCCTAATGGGCCTAGGCAGCTCATTTCAGCATTCGTTGATTCTGCTCTGGTTTTCAGGCACTTGATCTCAACTTTAACAACATTTTCAACATTCCTTTGCTGGTTTATCAGATTTTGTGTCATGTCTCCAACTTGTTGTTTGACAAAGTCCAGGCTGCTGCCAGTGGTTGGTTTCCCTTTTTTCAGCTGTTTTCAAAAGAAGAAAACAGCAACAGCAGTCAGGAGTGGTCTAAAACTGTGTTATAAATCTCCTGGAAGGATGTGTGTGTTTGTGAGGAACAATATTGAACATGTTACAAAGGATAAAGCTTAAATTCACAACAAAAGAGCTCAACCGTTTAAAACAAGAACAAATACAACAAAATAAAAGTAAGAGCATTGTTTTTATTCTTAAATAAGCTACTCCCGTAGTCTTTCCCAGTCCCAGTCATGTTATCTAGACTGATTTGGAAAGAAAGAAGGGAGGGAAACAAAGATGTTTTTCTGTTGCTGATGTTATGGAGGAGTCTGTATCTCAGCTCATTGTCCCTCTTCACAGGAAGAGGCGAACAGCCGATCCTCAGCAGATGGAAAATGCTCAGTGAGTGCTGCTGTACCGTGTCAAAGGTCACTTCATCTTTGTGCTATTTTCCACCAAACCTCCTCTTCCAGAGCCAAGTGCACCGACACACCCCGACGTCTCTCAGCAGCTGCTGGACAAAGACCTAAAACTGCATCTGAACTGTTCTTCTGAGTCAGGAAGTTAAAAAAGGCTTCGTGATGAATGCTGAGTTTGTTATTTTAAATATTTTCTTTTCTCAAAAGATTAGAAAAAAGATATCTTCTGTTTTTTTTTTTCTGTGAAAGAGCGGCATTGTCAGAATGGAGCAGGAATTAGCATGTTCTCCCATGTGTGTTCCCCAGACGTTCCAGCTTCCTCCAACAGAACAAAACACGTATGTCAGGTTGACTGACGTGAGTGAGTGAGTGAGTGAGTGAGTGAGTGAGTGAGTGAGTGAGTGAGTGAGTGAGTGAGTGAGTGAGTGAGTGAGTGAGTGAGTGAGTGAGTGAGTGAGTGAGTGAGTGGTTTTGTGGACAAGAGACCCGTCCAGGGCGTGCCACGCATCCCCACATGACTGCTGGAGTTAGAACCCAGACCTCTGAACCCCCTAGAGCAGGAAACGAGAGAGATCTGATTTAATGAAATTAATTTTGACAGTTTTGTCACAAAACACAAAAAGACAGTCAAATGTAAATATTTCAAAGCCTTCTGTGTCTTTTTTCTGTAGATAACGGAAAGAACAGAGTCTCTGAGGAAGAGGTGAGTATGAATTAATATTATATTTTACAGATAAGCACAAGAATGAACCGTGATAACTGTGAGATGTATTCTTGTCACCAGTTTCAATGACAACCAGAGAATTTTAATAATCAAGCATGACCAAACACATTTGGGTTACTCTCTTTTTTACAGCCTAATAACATTAGGGATGAGTATTGGTGAAATTATGGCGATATGTTACGTACACAGGGAGGCATTACGACATGTCACAATATATTGCGATACTTTCAGCCAGACGATATTGGCGATTTTAGACTGTAATTATTGTTGGGAAAAAACAGTCCAAACTGATACATACATTTTTAACATGATGTATCTGAACCATAGTAGAGAGATTTACATTTCAGTGGTGGAAGCAAAACCCATTGCACACTGCTGCCAACTACTGGTCTGTGTTTGAATTGCACCAAAAGAAAAGAAAATACACATGTTTGCATGTAAATTCTTCCAAATATTCAATACACATCTTTTTAATATCTATATAATATTGCAGGAAAAACATGTGCGATATATTGCCATATCGATATTTTCTTACATCCCTAAATAATACACTTTTCCAGCCAACATTATTATTATTATTATTATTATTATTATTATTATTATTATCCTCCACAGCTCCAGCAGCCTGAAGAAGACAACATCACCTCTTCCTGTGTGTAAGATTGATAAAAAGCTGGAACAATATGCTCAGGCTCTGGAGGTACGAGGACGGTGTTTCATTAAAGCTTTTCAGACACAAGCTGATCACACACAGGCAACTGACTTCATGTTGAATGCTGAAATGTTTCACCGGAACTTTTATTACTTATAAACATAAATACTTCCTTCCTTTGTGAACTCAGCACATTTGTCCTGAAACTATCATCTTAACTGGGATAATATCTAAAGTTTCTGGATTCCACGCTGTCTTTCTGAGGTCTCATCAAAAGAAGGGAGGTCGAGTTGCCCGGTGCCGACAGACCTGATGGGTTCGTCTGAACCTGTTGCCTCTAAGAAGAACCTGTTTGAAGCTGGAGAAGCCTGGAGCCTAAATGTCATCTCAGCCACCTCATCTAAGGTTGGTACATGAACATCTTTGCCATCAGTTTAATGCTGACTTGTCCTCATTTCCTATTTAGTCATAATATTTATAAAAAAGCAAGTTTTTTCTATTTTAAAAAGCTTATTTTTTTCTTGTTCCAGGATGCTGATGGTTTAAAAGTGGGCGTGGCCAATCTCATCAACCAGTGGGTGAAAGGTGACGATGGAAGCGGGAGCACCTCACCTTCAAAGCCAGCTGTAGGTTTCTGTTTTTAAAAGGATGTTTCCCAAATGATTTAAGTGCATTTCTTACTTAGACATTTGAGTTATGCGTTCAATCAGAGAATATTTAACCATTCAAAACTTTGAATTTTGTTGTTTTTAATGACTGTTGTTGGTTTTCTTAGTGAAACAGAAGACTCCTGTAGCTTTGATGTTTAGCATCTACGGTTTATAAGAATTCTGATCATTTCCTTCTTTTACAAGATGAACGTTTCTCGTCATTCCTGAAGAACAACGTCACATAAATGTTGTAGCTTTTTCTGGCTTCCTGATGAAAACCATCATAGCTAGTGGGCACTGAGGTTTATGGTTTTTAAGATTATACTTTTTCAGTGATTAATGATTTCCTCTGCCAGTCAGGAGATGATGGCACCATGCTTCAGATGTTTCCTTCTTTGTTAAAGGCTTGGGGCGTGTAAATGACTGTTTTAGCCTGAACCATGAAGCATCTCCTGCCAAAAGCAGTTAAAGTCAAATTTTAACCCTCTTCATCTTAAAAATCCTCATGTTGATTTCTCTTGTAGCTGCACATGTCCTTGTTGCTTTGTTGCACTTCTGTCATCATGTCCCATCTGGTGTCAATCAGACCAGTATGACAGAGCTTTCAGTGGAAGTGTGCCTCCTTGTGGTGGCTGTGTCCTCATGCAGGTCCTTCAGGAAAAAGGAGCCAACGCTGCTCTGTTGTTCCCTCTGTTTTCAGGAGATAAGACCTGGTGGAGTTTTAAACAAGAAGAATTTATGGGAAAGCCTTGGTGACACGATGCCTTCAATGAGAGATGGAAAGGTACACACCAGCGTTGCTAAACTGACTGTTTATTCCAACACATTCTCATGCCTGTTGCAGAATGTGTTGTTTATTCTCATTCATCCACTGGTTTGCGTTTTGGGCTGCATGGTGGTTGGTGGCTCTGCTACCGTGCAGCAAATATGCTGCAGGATTTCTCCAGTTACCCCAATCCTCCCAGAGACCAACTGGGCGTGACCCTACTGAGGAAGAGGTGGTTAAGATAATAGATGATTTGTGTTTTCCACCAAACCCAGGTGGACCGCTCGTCACATTACTTAGGGGATGTTGCTAAATGCGTTTCTTCTTAAAGGACAAATACTGCATCAGTTGAGACAATTGTTCTCATTTGGTCTTTGCTTTCACGTTTGCAATTTTTGATTCTTTTAATGATTTTTAAGTGTTTTTTTATGCTCACAACACTTCTTTTGTGCCTTATCCTCTCAAGGAGTCATTGTTCATCTGAATGGCTGATATAGTTAGCAGGAAAAGCACACCTGTGGGGATTTTAGAATATTTAAATTAGTCTAAAACAGGTGTGGGAAATCCTGGTCCTCAAGTGCAGTGATTTTAGTTGGTTCCCTGCTCCCTCACTCCTAAATCAGTGGTTAAATCACCTGTTCAGCAGGTCATCAAACTCTGCAGAAGCCTGTTAATCACCTACTGATTAAAATCAGGTGTGTTGGAGCAGGAAACAACTAAAACATGCATGACGGCTCTCAAGGACCAGAATTGCTCTCAGTCTAAAATCAACCTTGGTGAAATTGGTCATTCTATTCTTGTGATGATGAACCGTTTTCACAATGTCATGTTGACCCAGATGAACTAAACTTAAATAAGACATTTATGGACATTTTTCTGATGTTTTTTTCATTTTTGTTTATTTATTTATTTATTTATTTATTTATTTTATCTGCATTTCAGGAGAACTCCACAAAAAAATATAAATTTGTGTCTTTGGGTCACGGCAAGTATACAAAAGTTTCCGGTGGAAATGGCAGCAGTGAAGATGCAAACTACCCCGAAGGTGAGAATTTAGGACTGTATGTCACTCCCACAGACCAGGACATTTATGGCTGGTTAAGTGACATCTAGTGAAAGACAATAGTAAGCTGGTGTTTCATTTGATGGAAAAAATAGGATTAATTTAGCATAAAACAAAAAGGGATTTGATAATAAAAAAAAGGGCCAGTTGGAGACAACATTTTTTAATTCTTTATGCATATTCACATGTCACAGTGAGCAGATCTTAAATGGAACTTCAGTCTTCCGTACTAAAAAATCTACTTTAAGAAAAGAAACATTAAAATGAATTGTAGATGTAAAAAAATGTTTACAACAATTTATTACAACTTCTATGGAAGCAGCATAACTCTCTAAGCCTCTGAAACAACACATTTCTATACTTCTTCTGAACTTTTCACTCTAGCTCTCATCACCATCATCAGTTTCCTCAAAACTTTTGTTTAGTTACTTTCATACTGATTAGAATCTCAAAACAAAACAACTCACCAGAATTCAGGGCCAACCGTTTCATCATTAGGCAAAGGTTTGTAAGCAGCACTCAGCATTTGTTGAATGGACACATTTATCATTTTAGCCTGGATGACTGGTACCTGAGTTACAATGTTTACCTTCTCATTATTTGATGCGTGTTCTAAAGCCAGATTGTATAATCTCAAGATGCTTCAGCTATAGGTGCTAGCATGTCTAGCAAAATCTGCCAACATCTCAGTAGGATCACTTACATATTTTTAAAATCAGACTTTTCTTGTCCTGACTGTCTCCACCCTTCCATACCTGACTTTCAGACAACTTCATTTAACATCACCTGTGTCTTTTCTCCTCATTCATCTTGATTTTCCCTCCAAATCTATGCCGTTGTTTCAGGAATGTACGAGCCCTGTTGATCACAGAGAATAAAATCTGCCCGCAAGCGAAATACTAAAAGCTTTTTTTATCTTATTTTATTAGAAAAAATGAAAAGCATTGCAAACAGACTACAGACCACAGTCACAGCTAGGCTGATGTCAAATAAAAAAACACATATTTGAGATGCAGCTTACATCACTGATCACACTTTTGTTTAGTCTCACTTTGATGGTTTCAAGAACTGTGCATCATGGCGTACCATGCAGTATATTATGATTTTTAGGGGCCTATTCTTGTCTTTTTTATTTATCTATTTAATGAAATTATTCATAATAATAATAATAATAATAATAATAATAATAATAATACTTTTATTTTGTATTGGTTTTTCACGGCACTTAAATACTAAAACCTTTAATTTCTCTCTGGGATCATTCAAGTATTTTTGAATTTGGATTTAAGTACATTTTTCTACAAAATAGGTAACACGAAGTTGAAATGAAATAGTTGAACTTTATTTGTTTACTCTAAATAAAATTTAAAATATGAGTAACTGAAGTCCGACATCAGGCTAAGTGTGGGGAAAAAAGGTGGTTTTGATGATACAAACATTCAGAATTCCAATAAGGATCATTTTCTTCTAAATGTTCTCATTCTGTACATGTCATCCTCTACCTGCCCAAAACTTTGCATAAATTCATATTTTGTCAAATAGGACAAATCACTTATAGTTGACCTTATTCTTCAATCCCATCAGGTAAATCAGTAGCTTTGGTTGAACCAAACCCTTTGGCTGTTCTGTTGAAATCCTTGCGTTCGTCCTCCTGACATTTGCGTTTTATCAGTCCCATTTCAAAAATGGATGCTATTTTTGACAGAGGTTTTTCTGCCGCTTCCTTCAGCTTTCTAGCATCAAAGCGAGGGCTGTACAATAAAACTGGCAGACGGTTAACAAAAGAAGGAACAGCTGACTGGTCGTCTTTGGATGACTTTTTCTTTTCTGGGTCCTTCTTGTTAGCATTGATCTGATCCATGATTTTTTCCTTGGTGGAGAACATTTGAAAAAGGAGTGCATCCCACATCTTCAGTGCCTTTGGACCTTCTTTGTTCTTCATGATCTCCTGATTGGCAGGTTGTCCTGCAGCTGGCTCCCCAGAGACTTCGTCTGCAATCCCATCACTGACACTGGGGCTGATCTGAGCTTTTGCCTCTGGCTCTGGGAATGTTGGTTCATCTGGCTCAACAACCATGTGTTTTTTCAGCCTTGTCCACCCACTGAGTTTACCCTTGAGGCCCTTTGGCTTCTGGGTTGCTTTTGGCTGAGTGGGTGTGGGTGGGGTCCCCTCTGCAACTGAGCTTTTGTCAGTAACTGAAGATGCAGTCGATGTCACTGACTTCATGGAGGATTCCACTGCTGGAGTTTCCATTGGTGCAGCTCTGTCTTTGGCCTTCAGTATGTCCTTGATTTTTAGGCCAGTTTGTGGCTGAGATGGCGGTGATGTTCCTCTGTTTGGTGCTGGAGCTTTTACTGAGACTGAGGCCTGAGGCAGAGAGGCAGGAGTGGCAGAATCAATCACAGCATCTTTGACTATGGATGGTTTCATGTCAGTACCTGTTGCTGGCTCTGCGGAGGCAGTGGTGTCTAGTGGTTGCTCTGTCAAACACTCAACGTTATTAGGAGTCTTTGAGGATTCTGTTTTTACCACTGGGGGGCTTATTTCTATGGCTGAAGAGGAGTCTAGGTTCTGAGTAGAAGGTTTTGGTTTACTGTTATTGATGCTTGGTGAGGAAAGAGTTCCTTCAACAGAAGAATATGAAGAGTGGTCTGTTTTTATGTGGTGCACTGGGGAATGTGCCTTTATCCCAGGGACAGAAGTGTCTTTACTTGTTGGCAGTTTTGTTTCTGGCTTTGACTCATTCATCGTTAATGACTTATCAGACTCCTGAACAATACTAGTTGGTGTGTTACTTTGATAAGGTGGAAGAGGAGAGTGTATCTGTTGTTTCACAATATCTGATGAAGGTTTTGATTCTGTCAAATGGTTCAAAGAAACAGGGGTTTTAACAGGCCGGGGTAAGGTAGGAGTGTGTGCTTGTTTTGGTGTGAAGCACATTCGTGGTTCGGGTAAAGGAGACGCTCTCACTGCAGCCCATGGTTTACCTGTAGCTTGTGGACTCTGAAGGGGGTTTTGGTCTTTTGTTGCATCATTAACAGACTGGGTCTTACTGAGAGAATGTGGATTTAAAGCAACGTGTGTGGCAGCTTGGGGATTTATATTATAAATATTTGTTTCAGAGGAAGTTGCAGGCTTATTGACAGACGTTAAGTGATCTGATGAGGCTTGTAAGTTTGCTGAATCCATGCAAGTAAGAGAAATCTGACTGGACTTCATTGCTTTAGTTTCTTGTTTAACTCCAACACCCAGTGTGTTGATCTCTTTGAGTGTAGCGGAAATGGAAGCTTGTGTCTCCATCATGGCCGTTAAAGAAGATTTTGTTGGTGCCAATGGACTTGCTAAGCATTTGTGACCCATCATCGGTTGCATGACAGCTAGGATTTCCTCCTGTTGAGTAGTTCTATCTGCAATTTGGTGTGAAGGTGTCTCAGGTGAATTGTTCAGAAGGTTTGTAGTTACTGATTGCGCCTCAAATCTATCAGACCTGATCTGAGCAGTTTTTGGTGGGATGTGCCTGATTGTTGGACTGGAAGGCACCACGGGTTTACTGGACTGCTGAGCATTGCAGGTTGGTTTAGCAGCCACTGTGGGCTCTGCTGGTAATGGTAAAACCATCTGAAATTTGTTTTGAAGCAGATTTTCACTAGTTGGATTATTCTCTAAATGACTGCCCAGGTCGATGTTGCTTGATGGTGCAGTTAGGTGTTGAGTAGCTTCTACAGCTTGTGCAGGTGGTGTTTTACTTGTGGAACCTCTAAGGTGCTCTGTAGGAGGATTATCTGATGACCTGGACTCATTCTTGGACATGCTCGTGTTTGTCGTAGCAACATTAAAGGCTGGCTTCTGCTGAAGGATTTCTGCATTTATAGAATTAAGATGCTGAAGCCCTTGAGTGTTGAGGCCAGTTATTGTTGTTGCTTCCATTACTGAGTACGAGTTTTTATATAATTTTTCTGCTTGCACACTTTTACTTGGACAACCCCAGCCTATGTTGGATTTAGCAATTACAGCTGCACTGACGGGTGTGGTGTTTCGCTTTTCCATTGCTTTTTTGGGTTCATGTAATTGGTTTGCCTCAATGGGAACATTTACATTGGGATGAGTTGCTGACTTGATTGGAGTACCAAGTAAGGCCATTTCTGTGGTACCTGTACCTGGTAAGGTTATACTTACATCAGGTATATTTGATGTAACCATACAGTGGTTTTTTTCCAGTAATTGATTATTTCTCCAAACTTGAGTTTCTGTATCATGCAGATGGATAATTTTGCCACTCATCTTAGGGGATGAGTCTGTGCAGATATTGTGATGTCCACAACAAAGGGATGATTGAACGGGCTCATGTGGTAGAATTTTTCTTTTTGTAAAGATTTCCTGGTTGTTTAATGTATTTTCAAAGATTTTTGCATCTGGGTTTCTACCGTTTTGGGAATCATCCAGATAACCATCACCTACCTTCACCCTATTTGTTAGGACATTTTCATTGCTGACTTTATTTGGATTACTAATCTCTTTGATCTGTTTTTCTAAAATGTCTTGAGTTATTATTGTGCTCAGCAGTGGGATTTCTGAAGGCACTTTGGTAGGTTGTTGTTCCCCATTAGCAGCAGCTTTGACACACTGACTTCCTGTGAATTGACCCTGCATCTGTGTTGCAGATACAAGCTTGGCAGTAGGTTGAACGTTGATACTTTGGACTGCTGGTGGGCTGATTTTAATTTGAGTTGGTCTTAAATTTCTTGACTGTTCATTTATATTTGTGACTCCATTAAAGGTTTTATTGGAAAAAGAACTTTTACCAAACTTTGAATCTTTTTGAGCATTGGCGACTCCTTTTGTGTTAAGCTGTGCCTCTGCATTTAAGATGTTCATATAAGGTGTGACCAAACTGGATGTATCAATGCTATCAGTGGAGTATTGGGCTGCTTTTAGCCCTGCCTCTATAGAAAACTGTGCCAGACTTTTCATGTGTACCTCACCTGCTTTAGGCATTGGTACTGGAGCCTCTGAATATGAGGCTTTTGATGAGGATTCATCACTTGTGGGTGGTTGTATTGTTTTCTGTGCCAATCCAAAGGCGAGGTTGGGTTTTATAGTGCCCATGTTAGTTCTTTTAAGAGACTGAATCCCAGTATTAAGAGCTCCAGACTGACTGTCCTCGGTGACCTTGCTGCTCTGTGTGAGAATACGGTCATCTGGAACCTCTGACTGAAACAAACGTTTGTCGTAAACCACAGAACCTGGTTCCTCAGGTCCACTGAGCTGATTTTCATGCTTTGGGGTATCTGATCCATTTACAGACTTGTCTTTCTGGTGTTTTTCTGAGGTTCCCTCAGCGGTGGAAGGTGTAGAGAGGTGATGCGATGTACTACTCCTAATGCCACCATAGGCAGCATATTCAGCTGGAGTCAGCCCGTAATATGTAGAACGTGATTTGGACTTTGAAGTGGCCAGTGACATTTGAGTTTCCAAAAGGGACGTCAAAGACTTGCGTGCTTCAACTACTGGGGGATGATGGGTGAAGATCACTGGGCTTGGACTTAATGGTGCTTGGACTTGGTTTACTAGAGTGGGATTGAAATGATTTGGTGCACAATGAAAGGATGGAACTTTTGGCAAAGATGATGGTTTGTTTTCTGAAAACAAGTCTGTTTGGGGGTCCTGGGATCTTTCTAGTGAAGGTCTGACCACAGAAAGAGCTGACATAGCCATGTTTTCTCTGTGGTTCATCTCAGTTTTGACCAAGCTTAGATTTAACGTACTCTTCTGTGTATTAGGAATCTCTGTTTCTTTATAAATGTTGGCATGTTGAACTCCAACTTGTTTCTGTTCTTCCATCACAGATAAAGGGATATTCGAAAAGCCAGGCTGGAGTGCTGGGTTGGGTTTCAGTGGCTCTTTCTGAACACAGGCTGCTTGTAAATCTCGAAAGGAGTTGAAAGCAGGACTTGCAGAGGATAAAAGTGGGTTGGGTTTTGATATTTCAAAAATAGGTTTTGATATTTGAGCTGGTGTGTAAGAAGGGATCTGGCATCCTCCACTCTGGGGCCAAGGTGAAGACAGTTTCTGGTCGCTGTTCACCACTGACGCTGCTGTTTGTTCACTGTATGCAGCAGAAAATGATGCTCCCACGTTGACTGGACTCATAACTGTGAGATCTTGTACAGACAGAGGTTTGGACATCTCATAAAATGTTGCCTTGGATGTATAAAGTTTCCCTTGCATACCTTCAAGCTTCGGTTCTTTCACTGCATCAACCAAGGTTATTTTTGAGGCAGTTATTTCAGATGACATCTGTCGAAGGACACAGTTGCCATTGCTGGAGACCATGGCAGTCCTGGCTAATGTCTGGATCTGAGGATTAGCCTTCAAATTAGCATTTGTCTCCCCCTGGCTGGAAATGGAAGATTGTGCATAATTGTTTGCAACTGATAGCTGAGCTGGAACGGGAGACAGATCCGTAACTTGATAAGGTGCTGGACCTGCACCAGAGTTGGTGGCAGCAGGGCATAAAGTCAGTCTGTGCATTGATATTTTAGGGCTGGACTCTGACAGAAGAACCGGAGGGACTGTTGCCACCGGCCCATGAGAATTTGACGTCATGTTAAACCTAAAAGGAGTTGGGTGACATGATAGAGGAACCTGCTGTGATGTTGGTGATGTGAATGGTGGCATCATGAAAGGTGCAGCGTCATCAAATATAAACGAGGAGCACTCATACAGCGGAGCCACCTGTTCCTCTGGGGGTCTGACCCCTGCTGGGTGGGGTGGAGGGTAAAATCCCATTTGTACACAAGGGCTGCTCTGACGATGAGGGAATGCAAGTGCAGAGTGATCATAGAGGGAGCCTAATGGGAAACCGGATACAGATGAGTCTGCAATGAAGACTGAGTCTGGTGTCCTTGGTGGGCTGGACTGGTCGCTGTGCTCCAGGTCTGTGCTCGCTTCATTGACCGGAGACAAACAGGAGCGGAAGGGGATGGGCGTTTGGGAAAGGCTGCCTTTCTTCTTGGCTCTCTTCTTCTTGAGTTTCTGAAGCCTTGCGTTGTCTTTGCCTGGTTTTGGCAGCAGCGGAGGAGGATCCTGCTGGGAAAGGTCAGGATCCAGGCCATTACTGTAACACACCTCCATCAGCATTTCACACTCCTGTCAGATAAATAAAACACATCATCAACTAGAATTATAGAGGAGAAATGTTTTCCATCAATGAGCATCTTCAAACTTTTATTTTTCCTCCCATAATAACAGATAAAACAAGCTCAAAGCCTGTGTAAACTAAAGAACTAGATAGTCCGATGTTACACTAACGTTTGTTTTCTTTGTTCACAGCTGGACCGCTCTATGATGATTTGTGAGATGTGTTGGGAATACTGGAACTAAAGCCACTATCAGTTCACTTATTGCTTTGATTTGGAAAAGTTTTTTTTATTTTCTTTTTTTTTCTTTTTTCACTTTTGTTCTACTGGAAATGCCCAAGAAGCAAAAATGAAAATTTTGCCTTTACTTCAGACTTGTAATAATTTTGTTTTGTGACTATTATCTCAAGCCATTTGGAGGATTTTTGAATACAATAAAATGTATTAAAATGTCTTTTCTGTTGCTCGTTATTTTTCTTTACTAATTTTTTAAGAATGATCGCCAAGTGAGACGTTTATTGTTTTAGAAATGTCTTTATATAAAGTATCTTGCTGCTATAAACATTCCTGTTATAAAACCCCACCAATGGTTCTTAGACAAGCTGGAGATCCTATAACAAGAACCCCATTAGCAGGTTCCAGAGATCTGGACTGGGACCTGAAAATGAATCATGGCTAAAACAAATCTTCCCAGTGGAAATACGATGCACGTTTCTTAAAACGTCTACTTTAAAATGATGACTAACTATGTTTTAAAATAGCCTTCCAAGGAGACGGTCTGGTTTTAAAAATGACTTCTGCAGGAAACCAGAGTAGCCCAAAGCAAGATGGCTACCACAGAAATGAAGGTGAGCGAGTTTATGCTAAGGAGGATGTCTGCCTAAAAGCTACAGGTATAAAATAAGAATTTGGGTCTAAAGTGAGAGGATCGACCACCGAATAAATAAATGCAGATAGATTACAAAGTTGGTCTGTTAGCCTTACATGTTTGTTCACTGTAAATATTTTCAAGTGTTTTCTGCTGCATCTGTTGAAAAATGATTGTCCTACCTCTTGCAGATGTCTTTGAACAGCCTCAGTTTGAAAAAATATAGAATAGTCTGGATCAAACCAATGAGCTAACAGCTAGACCCAGTTTCAACATGCATAAAAACTCCAATAAATGATTATTCTATAAGCAGAAATCTGTAATTCTTCAGGTTAGAAATGTTTAATATATTTTTTATACATCTGCAGTGGTTTCTGAATGCCTTATAAGTCGTACTCTGGAGAGAAAAGCTCTGGCGCACCTGTTTCAGCATGGAGGATTCAGCCAGAGGAGAAAGTAGCTTCAGACAAGATTTAGTCTTATTCCTTTGTATTTGTAAATCTTGCCTCGGATTGGCTGACAGCAGTGTGACTCTTCCACAGACTCTATTTGCTTTGCAATGTTGATGTTTTACCTCCACAAATAACGCAAGTCTGGAGGAGTTCTGCTGTGTGGTGAAGTTGCTAGTGCTAATGGTTAGCTTCTACTAGCTAAGATGTGAATTCCCCATCACAAGTCAAGATGGGTGAGTCCTCATGAAAGCTTCATGTAGCGCGGTCAGGCTTTTCTAATCCTGGAGTTTCCTCATCTACCTTCTATCAGGTGTAACAGACCAATTTCACTCTCAGCCTGCATGTTAAATGCAAAGTGGGTGATGATTTTAAAAAATGGTCTCCCAGTGAAGGACCTCTTTAATCTTTTCACAGAAATTCCCTTCAAAAGAGCTGAATCACCCATTTGATTAATGTTATCGCCACCTACTGGTCTACTTTTGTAAATCTTTTTATTGGGCGTTTATGTGTTCTAGATTGAAACATTATACCGTAAATCTTCTAATACAGGCCCGGGTCTGTATTTGACTCAAGCTCATCAAGCTCCAGGCCTTTATTGGAAGGAGGACCAGAAATAGAGGCAGGCCTCAATTTCTATTTGAGCAAAATGAACTAATGTTTCGCTGGAATTTTTGACAATTAAAATTGCGCCCACATTTTCAAAGTTAAACACATTTCTTTTAACAACGGTAGTTTCTGCTTCAGCCCTCTCCCCCCTCCCCCTGCGCAGCGACCGCAAACTCACTGATGCGCCTGCAGCCTCTCGGAGTTCCTGCTGCTCTAAACATTAAAATAATTATTTTATTTTCTGTTCCTCACTTCTGTTTGTCTGTTTGTTGCAACCACCAGGTACAAAAACTAACTTGTTTTTATTTGATTATTTTTCTGTCCTGCCTTTTTATTATCTTCCTGCATCTCCTCTCAATCCTAAAGAGAAACTGCTACCTGGGTTCATATGTATTCACCTTATGAGGTTACCTTTGAACTGCAGTTCTAAAAGATCTACCGACCGCAAAAACAGCGGAGTGCGCGCTGCTCGCCGGCCATGGCAACGCGCTGTGCCAGAGCGTCGGTACTGACACCCGCCGTAAAACGGACATTTAACCAAATTGTGACGTTTACCCTCTTGCAATTTAACCTTCCCCTCACCCCCATTCTAACCTTAACCAGCTTGCGCATGCAAAGCTCTGATTGTTGACGCGCTCCAAACATCTACGTCCTGAGCACGGCCACAGTAACTCTATCAAATCAGGTGTCGCCACCTCAAAAACTAATTTAACACGCGATCGTTCATGTCGGCTCATTTCCTTTAATGTTTTCTGTTTTTTTTTTATTCTTTTATTTGTGCCTGATGCTTTTCGCTGCTGTGGATCAGGGCGCATCACCTGTCACCTGCTGACAGCAGGCTTCTGTCTTTTCCGAGGACTGCATCTTGCTGGTTATTATCACGTGACAGCGACTAGTCGATGACAGGCACAAAAAGTCACTATAGAGCGGTGAAGTCGACTAGTCGACTAGTTCATACAACCCCTACTGCTCCTCAGAGTGTTCTGCAGCATAATCAGCACGTTGTCTTTGAACTTGATATCAAATTTTCGCCTCCTCTTCATCTCCGCACGGTTAAAATTACCCTCGCGGTCCATCACTGGCAAATCAAAAGTGAGACGGATGACACAACCGCCCCTGCTACCACATTCCACCCGGCCACAATAAAAAAACGGCCATTATTCACCTCCGCCGACTCCGACACCAGCCAAAATATGATACCCGGCAGTTAATTGAATACAGGCTAATATTAGAGGATTTACGGTATTTCAAATAATGGGGAGAAAAAAATGCTTCTGTTTGTAAAAATCCCAGTGTAGCCTTGGTGCTTTTGAGTGGTCTCACTCAACCTACAGTCTAATTATAGTGCAGGAGAAATAAGAGCAAACGTCCTGACACCGAGCACCTGCTGCCTGCTGTCCTGTATGAATGAAACGTCCTGAGTTTTCTGAGTTTTCTCAGGCTCAAATCCTCCCAGAGCTGCTCTGTTTGTGAGCTAAGCCTTGAGTTTCTGAGTGAAAATCTCAGTAAAAATGTAATTTGCTCTCATTTTTCCTCCTTTTGTCATGTAGGAGACCTTGGAGGCACTTCTTGCAAGTTTGACCAATTTAACCCTGAAATTGTATCAAGACTTGCATCTGAGAAGGATTTTTTTTTGTTTCATGATACTTTGACCTGTAAGCACCTTGAGAAGCTTGGCAGTTTTTCAGCAAGTATTTATCATTAATCCCTGCTGTCAAAGTGGCTCCTGTCATCGTAAGGCCAGCTGTAACAGGAGACACCCCCATCTAAGGCTCTGGGGTTGGACATCTGAGAGCTTTTCACTCCCGCAGCTCAAAAGAGGAAAGCGCAATTTAATTCAATTCAAAAATACTTTATTAATCTCAGAGGGAAATTAGAAATGAGCTTTGTGATAAAAGTGGGCTATGACCTCAATTCATCCAGCTTTAAAGCAGTTAATTAGATAAAAAGGACTGTTTTGGTGGGGCTGTCACATTATGAATCTGAAACAGCTTACCTGGGGGTGGAGATTTGGGTTGTGGTTTCTGCCTGTGATGGGCTGGAAAAGAAACAATGGACCAATGTGAGAAAGGGGTGCAGGAACATTTTCTGTTTGCAGGAAGTTTAATTGGCAAATGTGAAAGCGACATAATCTAAATGTGGTGTTGCTTGGTTCACAGCACAAAAATGTGCTAAAGTACTAACATGCTAAGCATTTCTTTGCAAGCCTTTTCTCATGGGGATACATTGAGATGTGTGATATGCATCATGCGTTTAATATTACAAATCGTGCACGTCAAGTCTCACACCATGTTTGCAGGTCAGCACCTGTCCGGCGGGTCAAGATTTCACGTCAGAACCACCGCCTCGTCAATCAAGCAGACACCGAGTTTGAGTGGATTACCTTCAGCTGACGGGAAAATCTGTTCTCTGCTTGTTAATCCCGGCTCAGAGTGTCACAGGGCCATCTCATCCTGAAGTGGACTGGAGTCTTGGGGAGCAAGCGGCGGTGCAAGCAGCTGCTCCAAAAATAAAATTGTTGTCTTCAGTGTTTGCTGCATGGGCAGATGGGGGTTTCCAGACCACCTGAGACGGTAGAGGTGCAGCCCCTACTGGAGGACAGTGACCACCTCTACCTGCAGGAAGGTGGAAGGACAACAAACACCTCAGTCTGAGGTATAATGACGTTGACTCAAAAATAAATTAATTCTAAAGTATTCCACATTGTCCATAAAAACTGTAAAAACATCAGTTTTCTGTTTATAGGATAACAGTAACCAAAGGACTGGTTTTAAAGGCAGGAGACCGCACTGTATCCTCTGGTTTATCCCAATAGATCTGAGAAACTCAGACATTGTACGGTTTGTGGATCTGTAACCATTTGTTGCCTAATTTTTACAATAGCAAGAGGGCGCTGTCTCTTCATCGTTACACATTTTTGGTGCAACTGGTTTTAATATTCATTCTATGAAACCTTAAAAGTTGTTTTTTTGTTTATTTTTTTTTTTTTTTATTAAAACAATTATACATCAACCAATAAAATCTAAGTAAAAAGAAAATTTCTAAACAACATTTTTGTTCTTGTTCAATGAATTACTGGTGAAATTTGAACAATTTGATTATGGTGCAAAAGTTAATTTTTTTTTCAGTACTTTAACTTAAAAGATGAAACTTAACAGATACGATAGATTCATTGCAGCAAAACCAGATATTTCAGCCTTGTGTTTTGGGTTATAACTGTGATGATGGCTTCCAGCTGATGAAAACCCCACATTCAAAATCTCAATTAGAATATTGTAAAAAGGCTCAGTGTCACACTCTGATCAGATAATGAATCTGCAAAGGGCTCCTGAGCCTTTAGATTGTTTCTCAGTCTAAGCTGATTTACTGAAATAAATGGACTTTTGCAACCTATTCTGAGTTTTCAAGTTTTACCTGCATATTGCTTTTTGTGCTTCCAGAAACTATACTCGGTGTCAACTAATCATCATTCAAAAGGATTTCTTTTGTAGTCTTTTCAACCACCAACCATAACAAAAGGTCATGAAACAAACTGCTTTTGTGTTTTTGTTTCCCAGTTGGACATATCCAGAAAACCTCACCAGGGAGGTGTCCAGGAGGCATCCTAACCAGATGCTCGAGCCACCTTAACTTGCTCCTAGACCCCAGCAGGTCCCTGAGGTCCAGTGACCAAAGCCTACCGGTTGTGCAGTGCACCAGGCTAAAGACCAAAGATGACAGATCATTTGCTGCTGTGGCCCCCAGACTCTGGACCTCTCTCCCCTTTAGCTTGAGATCAGTGGACTCAGTGGTCTCCTTTAAAAAGCAGCTGAAGACTCACTTGTTCAAGTTGGCTTTGGTGTGACCTTTGCTTGATTCGTCCTCATTACTTTCGCTTCAAGCTGTTGTTTCCACCAGTTCTGCCTTCCTTCACATTTTTAATATAAATCTGTCCTCTCTCTCCATTTTTATTACAATTCTTTTCTTTGTAATGTTTTATTTTTGGTTCTTGTAAACTGCTATATAAAATAATTTCTTCTTTTTCTTCTTCTCGACGTGGAGGAGCAGCGGATCCACTCCAAACCCCTCCTGGACGACTGACCACCCTATCTCTAAGGGAGAGACCAGACACCCTGCAGAGAAAACTCATTTCAGCTGCTTGTATCTGTGATCTCATTCTTTTGATCAAAACCCAAAGTTCATGACCATTGATGAGGGTAGGAATGTACGCCTGCATCACTGAAGACGCTGCATCAGTCCACCTGCTGGTCTCACGCTCCACCTTTGCCTCACTTGTGAACAACTTAAACTCATTCCTGACCTGGAGAAGGCATTCTACCCTTTTCTGACTCAAGACCATGGTTTCAGACTTAGAGGAGCTGATTCTCATCCCAGCTCCTTCACACTCAGCTGTGAACCTCTCCAGGGAAACATGGAGATCACGTTTTGATGAAGCCAACAGGACCACATCATCTGCAAAAAGTAGAGACCTGATCCTCGGGCCACTAAAACGGATCACCTCACCACCTTTGCTGCGTCTAGAAATCCTGCCCATAAGTTTTATGAATCAGTCAGACAGGGACCTACATCAAGAGGCCTGGTACCCCATACTCCCAGAGTGACAAAACAAACATAACTAAAAAGCTAAATAACTCAGGGAATAAAGGAAACTTCTTTAGCTCATGTTCACTTATGTCCTTTTCTGACCATTTTTTGAATCTATGTAACAATTATTCCAGAAACATAGCTTCAGTAATTGTTTTTATAATGTATTTTGATTTCTGGAAGTCCTCCAACGGCCCCCTATGTAGTTCTGGGTGACCGACGATGCAGTCATGACCCCACCTTTGGTTAACCCCTGCCAGTGTGATCTGCCTATTGTCTCCCTCGTTTCTCTTGTGGTTATGCTCACCTGTTTTCCATCTGTTGGTCAGCCCAGCTGCCATAACTCAGCTCTCCCACACAGCTTAAATAGCCTTCAGTTGCCCCATCCTACTGTTAGCTCCATCTCACTCCAGCTCCTTTTGTGAAACTGTGTGCTTGGTTTAAAAAAGGAATTTCTTTCCTGGTTAAAAACAAAATGGCTCAACTGTGGCGAAACTGCAACTGTATGATTCATTTGATGTGTGATTCAACAAATACAATTTGTGTACTTGAAACAAGATTTTGAATAGGTGAAGCAGTTGTTTTGTGCTTGTGAAAGAGTTTTTTTCTGTTTTTTCTCTGTGAATTCAAGTTCCCAGAGTCGAGACACACATGTTTTTGCACCAGATATTTAGTATCAACTGAGGCAAAACTGACTGTAAGATTATTTTGATGTGTGACTCAAAGAATGCATATTTGTCCTCATACCCAATATTTTGGGTTGCATGCTGCATGGTGGCGCAGATGTTAGCACTGTTGCCTCGCAGCACGAAGGTTGCAGGTTCGAAACTTGGCTGAGGCCTTTCTGCGTGGAGTTGTATGTTCTCCCCATGCATGTGTGGGTTTCCTCCGGGTACTCCGGTTTCCCCCACAGATCACAACATTCCCTATAGGTTATAAATTTTAAGTCGCTTTGGATAAAAGCGTCTGCTAAATAAATAAACGTAAATATTTGAAAGGGTGTAGCTGTTGTTTTGTACCTGTGAAAGACAGGATTTTTTTGAATTCTTCTCCATGACTTCAAGTTCCCAGGGACAAAACACAAATGTTATTGTGTCAAATGTACCTCCATACACATAGCTCTACATATTACACAGAATGCAATTCACTGATGTCTACAGACATTTATAAAGATGGTTTTTCACCATCTTCTTCTGTTTTTGGAAAGTAAAGGAACATGTTTGATTTTGACCGAATCCAGAAGCCCAAACTGTAAATGATGTGAGTAAGCCTTTAAAAGATACAGAGCAATGGTTGTTACCATAGTTTTCAGGAGACCATTTTTACTTTTGTTCTATTATTATCCATTCTTCCTCTTTGCAGAGTGTCTGACTGATGGACTTACTGGTTGATAATGCGGTCAGCAGTCATGCACACACACACACACACACACACACACACACACACACACACACACACACACACGCACACACGCACGCACACACACACGCACGCACACACACACACACACACACACACACACACACACACACACACACACACACACACACACACACACACACACACACTTTTCCTCCATTGTTTAGATGCCAGGCTGGTGTGCAATGCCCGCTCTCACCCTTCCATCACTGTAAATTTAGCAACAGAAGCTTCTCAGCTGCTCCTTTCCTAAACCTGAGCCCTCCTCTTCCATCCACAGTATTCCACCTATCTCCTTCTCCAGGGTCACGGATGATCTCCCCCCAGCCTCCCAACCTTTAGCACACACTCAAACCTATGCACACACACTTTACTCTCATCCCACAGCCAATAAGGGCCTCATGAGCTCAAGTATCACTATAACACAGGGACTTATTCTCTGAGCGAAGCCTACAGATTCTTCCAGACCTTCATCTTCATCGCTGGGAGAGCGTCTCTTCTCTGAGGTAAGTCTCCTGATTCCTGACAGCAGCGAGAAAGTCACCTAAAAAAAAGATCTCTCATCGATTGTTTGCCATGTTATGAGGGAAATACTTTTGCTGAGTTTTTGTGATGAATTTGATCTTGATGTAGTCGGGCTGTAAATTGCTTTTCAGACACATATGGACTTTTAGTGAAGTTAATCTGGGCAGAGCAGAAAGGTCCTCAGTTCTGGTTTCACTGAAATGAGAAGTTTTTTTTCAACAAAATAGAAAAATGTCATTTAGTAATCTTTTGTTTTATTTATTTTTATAAATCGTGTTGTTTTATTTATTTTTATAAATCGTGTTGTTTTATTTATTTTTATAAATCGTGTTGTTTTATTTATTTTTATAAATGATGTTGTTTTATTCAAAACACTTTTGTTAACAGCAGGAAAAGTGATTTGGATCGTTAATACCCAACAAAAAAAAAAGCTGTTAAAGTGACACTCAAGAATAGTGTTGGATGTAAAACGACACTTGCTAAAATGTTCGTTATGACTTTGACGCCTGCGGACAATGTGCTGGTCAAGGCCCAGTATGGGCAGTTCATAAAACCTCTAGTTATCTGAGATCTGATCCTTCAGTCAAGTTTGAAACATATTTCTGTTGTGATTTGGTGGAAAATGCTGGTATATGTCTATTAAACATGTTGAATCACCTAATACAGAATACTAAATTATCCCTACTGTTGGTTTGGCTACATATTTCACCTGCTTTTTATGGATCATTTATCAGTTTTTCTAAACACGTTTATAGTAAACTGAACCATTTAACCAAATAATTGTATTGTCAAATGCCCATTTCCTTTACTTTTACCTCTCCTTGTAGCTGCCTGTTAATATTTCAGAGTTTCAAGCAACACACTCACATAGCTGTTGAACTGTTAACAAGAGCAACATCTTTAAGACACGAGGCTTTCAGAGTCACCTCCCTCATTAGGATGCTCGTCAGCCTCAGACGGCATCTGTGATCCTCTCCGATGGAGTTACAGTATAAATCCACCCTCCATTAGTTCTGGCTGTTTCCTCAGTCTATCAGTTTCAATACACGTTTTCATTTCAGGAAGACCCTCCAAGTGTTCTGATCAGAACAGTGTTCCCATACTTAAAGAATGAAGTGATCACTCACTAAATATACAGCATGTTGAAGTGTTGGTATTCACTGAGCGAACGCTGCCTGTCAGAGGCGTGACGGCTGTCAGCTGTAGGTTGATCAAAGGGCTTGTTTGTTAGAGATGGATTGTGATTGGCTGCCGGGGTGTACAGGATCCTCCCGCTGGACCAAGCAGAGGGATTAAAGCAGCTATTTGAATACTGTTCCTCAGCTGATGGGTAGAAATACAATCCACATCTAATCCTCCGAGTCCACTGCAGCTGTGCTCACCACCAAGAAAGAAAAAGTCATTCAAAGACACTTCATATATATATATACACACACACACACACACACACACACACACACACACACACACACACACACACACACACACACACACACACACACACACACACACATAATGCATAATGTGTAAGAAGTACTTAGATCTGAGCCTCAGAGAAAACTCTTTCCTCACATATGAGAGACGGTTTAATTATTTTTATCAGTATTTTAATCTGTTAAAACAACAGATGTGTGGTCATTCCACATTAGTGTTGAAACACTATCACTTTAAATGAAGATGCATATAAACTAGCTGGCCAGTTCATTAGGTCATCTTACCATTTGAATCCCCTTCTGCTTCAGAACTTCTTCGTTTCATTAAGGTGTTCCTCAGATGTTCTGGTCTATATTAACATGACCGCATCACACAGTTTCATCCATGACGTGAATCTCCTGTTCCATCAAAGTTCCTGGACTGGACTTACCGCTCTCAGGATGTGGGCCAAATGTGGAGAACAAATTTCGCACACACGTTAGTGTGTGTGTGAGACAACTGATGGGACTTTAACTTTTAGCTAACATGGTGCTTTATCCTGCTGGAAGTAGCATCAGATGATAGGTCCATGTTATTAAAGGGATGGGCATGGTCAGATACAATACTCAGGTGTTTAAACCAGGCTCAGGTGGTATTAAGCCCCCCACCACCACCATCACCATTAAACCACCATCTGCAGCCTGATGGTTTTATGCAAGGCATGCTTTCAAGTTGGTGACACCAGATTCTGATCCGACCATCAGAATGTCGCAGCTGAACTCGACTCATCAGACCAGGAAAGGCATTCCAGTCTCTTCTGCTCCAGTTCTGGGTGAACTCCGTTTCCTGTTCTAAGCTGACAGTAGAGACGCTTGGAGTGGTCTTCTGCTGCTGAAGTCCATCTGCTTCACTGTTCAACAGAGATGCTGTTCTGCAGACGTTGTTAAGGAACCTGTGGTTAACTGAGCTGCTGTTGTCTTTCTATCATCTAGAACCAGCCTGACCATTAACAACATGTTTTCATCCACTCTCTCGCTGCTGGATCATGCTTCTTATTGAAACACTTCTCTGTAACCATGGAGATGGCTGTGGATGTAAAACCCAGTTGAGTGGCAGGTTCTGAAATACTCAGACCAACCTGCCAGGCACCATCAGCCATGCCCAAACCCTTGTTTCTTTCTCATTCTAATGTTCAGTTTTAACTTGAGTAAGTCATCTTCACCATGTCTACATGCCTGAAGAAGCTTGTATCCCTCTAGCATGGTCAACTGTGTGCACCTGATGGGTAAAGAGAACTTCATGTGATTTCCTTTAAGGAAATGTAGCTAAATACAGGAAGGTGAAGATCTCTGGTTCATATGAGATGAGTGGTGATTATTTGGTGTTGTGTTTTGAGTCCGCATCAGATTCTAACACATCAAGATGAATCTGCAAAGAAGATAAAACTCCCCGACCGGCTAAGTCAACAGTTGTGGACAAGCTGTGAAAACGTTGCAGTGAGGACAGATACAATGCACTGCTTCATCCTTCTGATCCTATAAGCAGCTGCGGTCACATGCCAGAGGCTTTTTGCCTGCTGGCGGGAACAATTTAAAGATTTTGTTCCATGACAACAATAAATTTGTTTCTAAGGCAACAAGGAACAAAGAAAACTGTCTTCCTCCAAAGCACGCAGGGATCAAACGTATTAACTTTAAAGAGCACTTCAGAAATGGCACAAATGATGAATGTAAGGTAAAATGTAAACAGTCAGAGATAAAATGCAGCGTATTAATAAATCAGCTTGGAGCATGACGTGTTTAGTATTTTAGCAAGAGGACAGCTGTCCAGGTGTCAGATTCTGAACCTTTTATATCAGAAGTCAGTCCAGCATTATATAAAAGTCACGTGTTGGTCTTTCTCCTCAGGTTCAACGTCTGCTGCCAGCATGTCTGACACTGAGGAAGTGTAAGCCGGCCCTTTACGTGAACATTTATTTACTGCTTTTAATTTGACTTGAATAAACATAAAGATCTGACTAATCTTTTATGTTTTTCATGTTTCAGGTATGAGGGTAAGAGAGAACCACTTTTTATATTTTATATTTAAGAAACAGAGCAACAGAAATGATATTAAAGTCTCTATTTTATGCTTCCATGTTTACAGTTTTGGCTTTTTGCGTTTTTTTTTTTAAATAAAATTTCTGCAACTAAATTCAACTTTATAATATTTTCTCATGTAGTAAACTAGTCTCTAAAGATCATGAGTATTGTGAATTGTATGGCTTTGTTTACTTGTTTGTGTCTTCTCTTTATTTTTTCTTCCTGCAAAACTGAAGAGGAGGAAGGTAAAGCCAGCTGAATCATTTTGACATTGATCACTTTTCTTTATCCACACTAATTAGTCAGCTACCTTTCACTTTTCATTTGAAGTGTTTAACACAGATGTGCTAACACTTGAGAGAGTTTTAGTTAAAGCCAAATGAGCCTGTGGCACCATAATTATCTTTAATCATTTTTAAAGAAATGATAAATGTAGAAAAAGTCGGTTTTATACTGAGACACATGCTTTATTATGGATGAGCTGCTTTAATAACTTCTGTCACTTAAACACTTCTAAATGAAAGGTGACTTTTGTTCTGAGTGAAGTTTTGACTCACATGGTAAAGAAAAAATGTAACTTGAGTTTTTACATTTGTTTTCTTACCATGTGACATGTTTACAATGCCACCTGCTGTTGTCAGTACTGCTGTCCTTGACCTGATTCACACAGCCATATTTTAAACAGTGGATGTGGAAAACTACTGTCGGTGAACTTCATGAAGCTCAAGCCTAAACGGGTCTGGAAGAGATCAACAGAGGTTACTAGAGTCAGACTATCAGAGGTAGCTTGTGGGTCAAAAGTTAAAAAGTTTGGAAGCAGGTGATTAAAAGCTTATTTCTGGATTATTCCTCTTATCCGAGGGCACCATCTAGTGGCTGACAAGCATATCACACAAAAAGTATATTTCTCTGTCTGTTTAAGATGGCGACTTCACGTTTCCGTTCATAAATGTGCTTCTTTGCTGACAAACGGAGCTAAAACACGTTGTTTTACCAGTTTTATTCTCATGTCATGTTGTGTTCTCAAATATTTGGATTTTAGAGACTTTCTTGTCTGTGAAAAGTTCACCAACTCTGCATCAGCCAAGGTACTTCCTTAAAATTGAAGCAAGTAAGCGGTAGTCTAACGCTATTGGTTAGTTCGATCAGCGCTCAGTTTCCTATTGAACGGAGCTCTGAGGGGCAGGGGGCATGCTTAGCAAAAAAAAAGACATATTGCTTACATTTTATCATAGTGCATGATGAGATAATCACTTTTACGGATTTCTGAAAAAGCATACATCATTTCTGAAAGGGGAAAACTCTGGAAAGCAGCTTTAACCCAGAAAATGTTTTGATACATGAGCCACAATTGTCCAGTTAAAAACTCTTAGGGGCCACAAGCATGTGATTTGTGTTAATAACGAAAATTTACTTATGGTGATTGGTGGTCAGCTCACATGCTTTTATAGATGCATTTAGTATGGTGCGGTATTTTTGAAAATACTACTGCTCAATAATGAATCACAGTATAAAACTGAACATAAAAATGAGGACAAAACTACACTATTCTAGAAATGCCTTTAGGGGCCATACAAACTCATTCTGAGGGCCACAATTGGCCCCCTGGCCACATTTGGAGATGTCTGGTTTAAAAGTGAACCAGCAACATCACTTTTTTTTCTTCTTCTTCCGGCTCTTGGAGAGTTCAGACACTTTTTTCCTCCTCTCCTCCCTATCTTATCCCAAGGCTCTTTATCTGTCTTTGGGTGTACGGCGCTTCTGCATTTTTTCTGGAAACTGGAAATCATTAAAAATGGACCTGGTCAGTTGGTCTCTCAACGCGACTGACAAAATTTTTTCAACGATGAGAACGGGAGAAGGGGCTCCCGGATGCCTCGCTGGGACAGACCCAGTTGGACACATCATGGACTCCTGGAAACAGTGGAACCTGATCTGCCTCTCTCAACTTTCTGTAGAGGATTCTGAAGACATCTGGAAATTTGTGGTGTTGGTGTCAGGTTTCTTGCTTTTTGGCCTGAGTGGTTACCTGGCTTACTGGAAAATTAATGAGCTGTCGAGGAATATTGACTCAGTCCCGGAGCTCAGGGATGGATTACACCGCGCTGTGAACGCACAAACTCATATAATTGCCCAGATGAGTCGTAAGCTTGGAACTTTGGCTGAGATTCAGGCTCTGGCACAGAAGGTGGATTCGATCAAGGAGAAAGTTGATGGATCAGCACGGATTGGGATAGATTAATTACCTTCAACGCAGTCCTTTTCACACTGGGAGAGCCTTGTCAGCAGCACGGCTTCCTCGTTTTGCTTTTTGCTGGACTCGGGAGATCACAAGATCCCTCGAGAGTTCAGGTCACGGTTTGTTTGTGCAATCCGCCATTAACCCATTTGCGCCCAAATGTTTTCAGAGTCGTAATGCATATCATTTTGTCAGATGAGTCCCTCTGAATCACGCTATATATATTTTTTTCAATTATGTACTTTTTGGGGAAGAAAATAGCATTTTTATATTGTTGCCAGTGGTCACACTGCTTGGGTCTCACAGCTTGTCAGTAGGTGAAATGTCACCTAATAATAGAGAAGTAATAATAACACCGTCACAACCAGGGCCTACCCTGGGGCATTATTTTCCCTGGGTGATATTTCCCCTAGGACCTTTTGTTAATAATGCTTATTATTACACTAATTAACATTAATAAAGGGGCCATTACTATAAAGTGTTACTGGTACTTAACTCGAGGACAACAACAAACTATGTTTATTAAAGCTGTAAAACATTTTGCTCAATATAAAAATAAACAAAGCAGAAACTATCACTATGTTCAGATTTCGCTTCAGAGGGTCCAAAAAATCTACGAATACATGAGAAACAATCATAAAAACGTAAGGATAGTGGGGGTAGAGAGACTAAGAAAACAAATACACAATTCCTGAAATAGTTACAATTCTGTAAAACAGCCAAAAAGCATCTCCAAAAAACCCAAAGTTTCAGTCTGAAAGATTGATAATAAAACAGGGCATTGTGGTAGCCAGCAGGCTTCGATAATTAAAGAGCTTCATAATCCCTGACAGCCTGTTCTTCCAGTAGTTTCATACATCAACACTTTGATATGGCTCATGTGTGAAAGGTCGGCTGAGTTTTTGTTACCATCTCCTGTTTCTCTTTCTGATCTCCAGCAGTGTCCTTCGCTCATCCATCCGTTTTCTCTGTACATTAAGTAATCTCACGTTTGGTTTCTAATGGCTCTGTCGTGTCTTCATTAACGGCCTTCTCCGACACCATCCACTCTGCAATATGGTGCATGCTGCGTGCCCGTAGCCCAGGAGGAGGTAGTAGAGGTAGAAGTAGCCCCTGAGGCGGAGGCCCAGGTAGAAGCAGAGCCAGAAGTAGACCCTGAACCTGAGCCAGAACCAGAACCTGAACCACAGGAGGTGGTGAAGCCAGTGGTTCGTGAGGAGGAAGGTACGTGGCACGGGCAGGCTGTTTCTTTCTTCTTCTGCAGGAAATCCAGCATCAAACAGGGAGTCGGTCCTGTGTGACAGCATGAGGTCACTGCAAAACTCTTTATGTGTTGTTGGTGACGTAGTAACCATATGTATCCATTATATAATTACTTTCAAATAGTGATGAGAAAACTAAATTCATAGGCTCAGAGAGCGGGCAAATATTTTCTCACATCACAGAAATGCACATTAAAAGGATTTCTATGAAAGTAAAATTAAGTCTATTTTTTGGACATTTTATTTTGGTTTTAGTCTAAAACAAAACAATTGTTCTCTAGAAAAATAAAATTACTTAAAATAAGGTAAAATAATCTTCTCTCTCTCTCTCTCTCTCTCTCTCTCTCTCTCTCTCTCTCTTAACTAGCAAAATAATCTAGTTTATGTTTGTTTGCTAGTTTGACGAATATCTAGCCAAGCAAATTTTGCTTACCTCATTGGCAGATTTTTTTTAACTCAAAACAAAGAAATTTGGATAATGTCTAAGATTATTTACCTTATTTTAAGTATTTTTTTTCTAGAGAAGAATTTATTTTCTGTTTGAACTAAAAATAAGATAAGTGTCTAAAAATCAGGGGTTTTATTTATTTTTTTACTTTCTTAGAAATCAGTTAATGTGGTTTAATCAGTCTTAAGATTAGTTTACATTTTTATTTCCAAAACAGCACTATCCAGATTTTGGCCTAATGGCCTAATTTGAGCAGCACATGGCACAACAGCACATTCATTCATTCATTTATTCAATCATTCATTCATTTAAGCATTTTATTAACTGTGCCTGGATTGTTTGCCAGCTGCTGGGTGCTGTACCGCTCTAAATTTGAAGCCTAGCCTTCCATACAGATGTGCTCATTCTGGCTTCGCTGCTTCTGTTGTCTGGAGGAAACCATGAGGAACATTCATGTGGCTGGATAAGTCATTTATACCAAACTCATTAGGAACGTTGTGAACTTCTAGATGGTTCACATTGTTTATTTTGTTATTTCCAGATTACAACCCGAAACTCAGATTTTAGATTGATGTCATGTTGCCTTTAATAACAACCATCTAGTGAAGGAAATATCTGCTTTGTTTAAATCAGCCCATATCATTCAAATCAGCGCTAGAGAACAAAAGCACATTGTGTCCTGTTTATTTCTCACTGTCTTGTGTGTTGTAAATCTGGGCTGTGCATTTCTATGTTAAAATGGAGAAGAAGAAGGCTACCTGCCTTCACATGACAGCTACCCCGTGTCCTCCATGACCGCTGTCTCTTTAATGGCTCCTTTTGGCAAACTCATGTGAGCCATAACAGAAAGAATGATGGGTATTTTCATGTCATGTAAAGCCAGTTCGTCTCCTCCTTTTGGTCCACGTTTAGCAGTTATCTGTGTGAAGATGAAGCATGATGTTGATCACAAAGCATTTCCGTTGGGGTGTTTTGATGCAAATCATTCATTCTCAAGATTCAGTTTCATGTAATTCAGGCAAACATCTCGTTCAGGTGCATTCAGGGTCTGTGTTTGGAGTCACGGCAGAAGTCCCAGGCTTATGTTTTTTGAACTAATGCTTCGTGGCGTTGCTTCAAAAAGGAATATCAGCTTTGATTCTTCAGCAAAGGGTTTTGTCGTCTCAGTTGACGGAGGGTTAATCTGCATTAACTAGGCTGAAGGCCTCCAAACAATCAGAAGAACATTTTATTCAGCTAAGTTTCAGGAGGGCTTGTCTCATTTGGTGAAATAACTGCCTTGTCGTCTTACACTGGCCATGGGTGAGGATCGGAATGAAAATTCCCTGGTAAATTCTGAACTTTCTTTTCTGGCAGACCAACTGAAATTACTCCATTTGAGGTAGAACCTCTTCCCAACCTGGAGTTTGCAACCCACCTTTTTCGACGATAGCCACAGCCTTCACTTGGGAGGTGCTGATCTTCATCGTTGAGGACAGCATTATGATCACGAACCACATCGTCTGTTGTGTCAAACCACTTGTTACGAAGGAGAAAAACTCCTAAAACATGCAGAATAGTGGCCCTGAAGGGTCAGGGTTGGATACAGAAACCCATGGCATTTTTCTGCACACCTACCCCTACATCAACAAGACAATATGAGCATTTAGGAGCCCAGCACCCAGCTACGTCACAGTATTGAGTTTTCAAAAAATCTCTGCAGAAATGATAGTCTTGCTAAGTTAATAACTGTTATACAGTCAGAGTCATTGACCTTTCCACTCGGAATCTTCAGTAGCATAAAAGAAGGTGCTGGATCAATGCATGCCATGACATGGGACTTGTGCAGTGACATCCAAAAAGAACACCCCAGACGAGCAAATGTGCTTTTTAGGCTGTGCATTATAAAAGGAGAGGTGCAGGCTGCTCAGTCCGATCACTAATGATCTCTGTTCTGCTCTTGCTTTGGACGCTTGCTGCATGCAGAGGCGTATGAAGAGGAAGGTATGTGGTTTTGAATTCTCTGTTCTTCTGATTCGACCTTTTATAATTCCCTGATAAATGCTCCAGTTTTTTTTTTTTAACTTTTCATACTTTATGGCTCATTTGTGTCACCCACCTTCAAGAGAAAAGAAGCCTACTCAGTTGGCTTTTATCTCTGGGTCAGTTGACCAAGGTGGCACGAAGAAAATGAGTAAAGGATTCACAAATGGCGAGTCAGACTAAAGGGCCCTGCTGCTCATCACTGCTTCTTCTCTCTCTTGCATGAATGTGTCCTGCCAGTGGAAGACGGAGATCAAGATGGTAGTTTGTATTTCATGTTGAGTCGCTGTTGCTTGGCCTGCTGTTTCCTCCCTCGTTTTGTCCTTTTCCTTTATTCTGAAAGGGTCCCTTAAAATCAACTGAAACCTAATCACACACCTCCCTACTGTAGTTGTGTGTTTCATCACCATAAAAACAAAACTATTAACAGCAGATGTAAATACTCCCACTGTAGAAAGTGTTTTTACTGATAGTTTTATGTAACAATCTGAAGGATCTGATAGCTGGCTCTCGTGGTATTGGTTTGATTTACTCACTAATTGAAAATAAATTAACAAAGACAATAAATAGAAAAGTTTGGTAACATTAATTAGAAACTTTCCTTTAAGAAAATGCATGGTACTGCCTCACTTAGATGAGTGTTTGGTATTTTCATAGTTTATAACTTGTATACGGGGCCAATTAGATTTGTTTTACATTCGCTAAAAGACTCGTAAAAATGTACTTGGCTCTAATAAACTGGAATTATTTTTTAAAAGGCAAGAAAAAAAAACTTTTGCCATTTTTTCATTGATTTTAGTGGTTAATTTTGTCTTTGCCAAAATAACAAAGCAAGTCAGCTCATTATGTTGTTAGAGATGTTTCAGTGTCCATATTGTGAGTCTGGCTGTCAAATTAGCAAATCGATTAATAAATATAATTTCCTAAAGGCAACAAATTGTAATTTACTTTTTTTTATCTAAAGCGTTAAATATGCTGTCTGGCTTTCCTAAAGACAGTAATTCATCATTTTTACTGTCTAGTTCTAACTTTATAACACCTGAGTTAATTAGCTAATTCCAGCTTCTTTACAAGAACAAGTGAAAAACAAATACACATCACAAAAACTTTCAAATATTAATATTTACATTTTTTTTATTCAAGTGTGTTTTTATCCTCCTGATCTCCAACAGGTGTTGCTGTGTGTTTAGGTTTTAGCTTTAAATCAGAGGCTAAAACAAGTCTCCGATGTTGGAAATTAAAACTCATATTACTACTGCAGGTGTAACCAGCATCCCAACAGCTTTCATCCAGTTTTTCTGTCCAACATTTTAATTTTCTCTCTTTTTCTTGTTTAACACAAACCAGAAGAGAAGCCAAAGTTCAAGTGAGTAATACTGCTCATTTTTTTATAAGCTGCTATTACTGACTTTTATTTATTTACCTTTATTATTGTTTCCAACAGACCAAGCGCTCCCAAGATCCCAGATGGAGAAAAGGTGGACTTTGATGTAAGTTCAGTGAGAATGTTAGAATCTGCAAGGGGCTCGGAGTAGACCCGTTGCTCCTCCACATCGAGAGGAGCCAGTTGAGGTGGCTCGGATATCTGGTCAGGATGCCTCCTGGACGCCTTCCTAGTGAGGTTTTCTGGGCACGTCCAACCAGGAAAAGTCTAAAGGAAGACCCAGGACATGCTGGAGGAACTATGTCTCTCGTCTGGCCAGGGAACACCTTGGGATTCCCTAGAGGAGCTGGTCCAAGTGGCTGGGGAGAGGAAAGTCTGGGTTTCCCTGCTTAAGCTACTGCCCCGTGACCCGACACTTGATAAGCAGCTGAAAATGAATGGATGGATTATTCACATTATTCCACATGCTCCATTTTTTCTGTTTAAAATATTATTTCCAAATTAAGTTTTTTTTTTTTACTTTTTTGTATGTTTTAAAGGTGTTACAACATTAATTCTGCATTCATGGCTCTTACTCATCCATTATCTAAATGCTGGGATGAACCAAAAAAAAACACGACACAATAAATCTTTACGTCACAAATTATGCAGCAATAGGTTTTTTGCTACATCATCTCCATCCATCCATTCATCCATTTTCGGCCGCTTATCCAGGGTCAGGTCACGGGGTGGTAGCTTAAGTAGGGAAGCCCAGACTTTCCTCTCCCCAGACACTTGGGCCAGTTCCTCCGGGGTTCCCTGGTCAGTTCAGAAACATTGTCCCTCCAGCGTGTCCAGGGTCTTCCTGTAGGTCTCCCCCTGGTTGGACATGCCTGGAAAACCTTACCAGGGAGACGTCCAGGAGGCGTCCTGACCAGATGTCCGAGCCACCCCAAAGAGACTCGTCTGGATGTGGTAGAGCAGCAGAAGCCCTCCCAGACAGAGCATCTCACCCTATCTCTAAGGGAGAGCCTAGACATGCTGTGGAGAAACCTCATTTCAGCCACTTGTCTCTGTGATCTTTCTTTTGGTCACTACCACTAGCTGATTTATAACTGATCCATCTAAACACACTAGATGTTGAGTCTACTTGTAGTTCTAGTTCTAACTAAACCAGCGTTAGTTGAGTAACCTAATAACAGAGGCTGACATAACTTCTCTTAGTTCTTACTTCCTTCAGTCATGGGTTTGGAACACAACAACAGCTTCTCTTCTATTCTCTGTAACCGGTTCTTTCTAATGCAGACGGTCTGTGTTTGCCTGTGACAGGACATCCAGAAGAAACGTCAGAACAAGGATCTGGTTGAGCTTCAGTCACTAATCGATGCTCACTTTGAGTGTAGGAAGAAGGAGGAAGAGGAACTCATCTGTCTCAAAGAAAGAATTGTGAGATTGTATCTAAATGAGACACGAAAAGCTTGTTTTTAAACAAGAACTTTAATCAACTGATTGGTTTGACTGTTAGTGTTGCAGCTCGGTGTTATTTGTGCTTTCAGGAAAAGCGTCGTGCAGAGCGAGCTGAGCAGCAGAGGATTCGTGCTGAGAGGGATAAGGAGCGCCAGGCCAGGCGTGAGGTACTGTTGTTTAATGGGTTCCATTTTCATCCGCTTATCGGGGATCAGGTCTCAGGGGCAGCCGCCTAAGCAGTGAGGCCCAGACTTCACTCTCCCCAGCCACTTGGGCCAGCTTCTCCAGGGGAGTCCCAAGGCATTCCACGGCCAGCGTGTCCTGGGTCTTCCCTTGGGTCTCCTTAATTGGAAGTGCAAAACCTCACCACGGAGGCGTCCAGGAGGCATCCTGACCAGATGCCCGAGCGACCTCAACTGCATCCTCTTGATGTGGAGGAGCAGCGGGTCTACTCTGAGCCCCTCCCTGATGACCGAGCTTCTCACCCTATATTTATGAGAGAACACAGACACCCCACAGAGAAAATTCATTTAGATCGTTTGAATCCACGAATAAATTCTTTCGGTCACTACCCAAAGCTCGTGACCATCTATGGTCAAAGGTTTATTCACAGGAGGTTAAAGGGCATTTCTTCGCTGGCATCTGCTGGTACCTCAGTCTTGACATGGTTCAATTATGTTTACTTAAGCTACAAAATATATAAATAACAACAACTGTCACATTTTCTGAAGAGATAAAACTGAGCTGGCTGTCTTGTTGTTGATAGGCTGAGCGAATGAGAAAAGAGGAAGCAGAGACTCAGAGGAAATATGATGATGATGCCAAGAAGAAGATTGCGCTCACCAGCATGGGTTCAGGGTTCACCAGCCACCTGCAGAGGGTATGTTGTGCTTTGTTTATTTTTTTTCAACCCCATTAAAATGTTAATGTGTAAAAAAAAAGTTGGTTTTAATAATTTATAATTTCTAGATTGACCAGAAGAGGGGCAAGAAGCAGACTGAAAGAGAAAAGAAGAAGAAGGTTTTGGCTGAGAGATGCCAACCCCTGAGCGTTGATAGTCTCACAGACGACCAATTGAGGTATGAAACAGGAAGTGTGTCATTGGTGCGGGACACTGAGCTCAAATCCTCCCAACAGATGTGGAATAATGTGTCAACTCAGCTGTTTTGAGTTTGTTTTTTATCTTGGTTTTGATTATTTTCTAAGGGAAAAGGCAAAGGAGCTGTGGGAGCTGATGCACAACCTGGAGGCAATTAAATACGACCACTGTGAGAAGCTGAAGAGACAGAGATATGAGGTGAGAGAGGAGGCAAAACCATCTGTAAATGTCTCATTTCAGCATTTAAAAAAAGCGACAAATGAAAAGGAAAACTCCATAATTCCTGCAGGTTTAAAAGATGCAATCAAGTCCTGTCCCTTTTGGGTTCCTCTTTCATGCCATCATCGATTAGGATTATTTACTTGAATGAGCTGAAGTTACTGTTTCTTACAGGTCATCTCCCTCAGAAACCGTATCGATGAGCTGCAGAAACAGTAAGTTATAAAAGGGAAAACAGATAAAACCACCATAAATACCTTTAACAATAACATTTTGTGGAAAATTACCAGGACGTAATCTGTGTCTTCTAAATGTAGTTTATGGAAAAACTTGTTTATTGAATGTTTAAATGAAAATTAAAAATATGTAACACTTCATATAGATTTACTTGATCAGATCTTTGGTTGATATATGCCAGATTTGTTAAATAAAATTTAATATCATTTGTATGTTTAATTGTTGGTTACCCATTAAAAATTAATTTCCCTCTTTGTAATTGCCACAGAAAGTCTTTAGAGGGCGCTGCCCGCATACAAGGACCAAGTCTCATTTGTTCTGTAGATGTTGTCCAAACTGAGTCCTGTGTTCAGCTCTGAGGTTGTTTCTGCTCTTTTCACCCTGCAGCAGCAAGAAGGGAGCCGCCTCTCGCCGCAGGAAGTGAACAACGAGGGAGTCAGAGGGTGCCGGAGGATCAACCGTGGCTCAGACTCTGAGGCAACAACTGGATGTCTTAGTTCTTGTATTTTCACTGGTTTTAGGAGAACAATAGTGTCAATAAAGAAAGTTTGAAACAAAAAGCATTGAAGTGTTTGTAGAGAAAAAATGTTTCTCTGGTTCACCTGTTTTGATTGTACCTATGTTCCTTAAAAAGTAATCAAAAGCCTCAAGGGCAACCTGCTGGCTTAATTATCACCTGTAAGTCGCTTTGGACAAAAGTGTCTGCTAAATACATAAGCATAAAATAAATAGAAATAAAGTAATCTGTGTTTATGAAAGAATTGTTTTCTAAGCATAAATGCATCTGAGAATTATCATTCATTAAATTTTTTACTAAATTAATTGGAAATTCATAACTTCAAATCCACTTCTTGTCTGATTTTAAGTTTCATCAGCATACAATTTTGTAATTTAATTAAGTCTTATTAGATCATCACTGCATTTTCTTTTCACGTGAAGCATTTGTGATTACCTCCCATGCTTCGGATAGTCTTCTGTTTATTCCAAATCAGACTTAATTAAATACATAAAATTTAAAAAATACAGAAAGTGACCAAAAATGTTCAATGTGTTTACAATAAATCATAAACCATCTAAAACAGAATGTAAGGTAAACAACCTGTATTAGTACACGAGGTAAAGAGCCCATGTCTGTAAACAAGGTAAATGGCCTGTATTAGTAAACAAGGTAAACGACCTGTATTAGTACACAAGGTAAACGGCCTGTATTAGTACACAAGGTAAACGGCCTGTATTAGTAAACAAGGTAAACGGCCTGTATTAGTAAACAAGGTAAACGGCCTGTATTAGTAAACAAGGTAAACAGCCTGTATTAGTAAACAAGGTAAACGGCCTGTATTAGTAATAAACAAGGTAAACGGCCTGTATTAGTAAACAAGGTAAACGGCCTGTATTAGTAAACAAGGTAAACGGCCTGTATTAGTAAACAAGGTAAACGGCCTGTATTAGTACACAAGGTAAACGGCCTGTATTAGTACACAAGGTAAACGGCCTGTATTAGTAAACAAGGTAAACGGCCTGTATTAGTAAACAAGGTAAACGGCCTGTATTAGTACACAAGGTAAACGGCCTGTATTAGTAAACAAGGTAAACGGCCTGTATTAGTGCACAAGGTAAACGGCCTGTATTAGTAAACAAGGTAAACGGCCTGTATTAGTACACAAGGTAAACGGCCTGTATTAGTACACAAGGTAAACGGCTTGTATTAGTGCACAAGGTAAACGGCCTGTATTAGTAAACAAGGTAAACGGCCTGTATTAGTGCACAAGGTAAACGGCCTGTATTAGTACACAAGGTAAACAGCCTGTATTAGTACACAAGGTAAATTGCCTGTATTAGTACACAAGGTAAACGGCCTGTATTAGTGCACAAGGTAAACGGCCTGTATTAGTACACAAGGTAAACGGCCTGTATTAGTACACAAGGTAAATTGCCTGTATTAGTACACAAGGTCAATGGCCTGTATTAGTACACAAGGTAAACGGCCTGTATTAGTGCACAAGGTAAACAGCCTGTATTAGTACACAAGGTAAACGGCCTATATTAGTGCACAAGGTAAACGGCCTGTATTAGTAAACAAGGTAAACGGCCTGTATTAGTACACAAGGTAAACGGCCTGTATTAGTGCACAAGGTAAATTGCCTGTATTAGTAAACAAGGTAAGCGGCCTGTATTAGTACACAAGGTAAATGGCCTGTATTAGTGCACAAGGTAAACGGCCTGTATTAGTACACAAGGTAGACGGTCTGTATTAGTACACAAGGTAAATTGCCTGTATTAGTACACAAGGTAAACGACCTGTATTAGTACACAAGGTAAACAGCCTGTATTAGTACACAAGCTAAATTGTCTATATTAGTACACAAGGTCAATGGCCTGTATTAGTACACAAGGTAAACGGCCAGAATTAGTACACAAGGTAAATGGTCTGTATTAGTTCACAAGGTAAACGGCCAGTATTAGTACACAAGGTAAATGGCCTGTATTAGTACACAAGGTAAACTGCCTGTATTAGTACACAAGGTAAACTGCCTGTATTAGTACACAAGGTAAACGGCCTGTATTAGTACACAAGGTAAATGACCTGTATTAGAACACAAGATTAAGGGCCTGTATTAGTACACAAGGTAAATGGCCTGTTTTGGTACACAAGCTAAATGGCCTGTATTAGTACACAAGATAAAGGGCCTGTATTAGTGCACAAGATAAAGGGCCTGTATTAGTGCACAAGGTAAACGGCCTGTATTAGTAAACAAGGTAAACGGCCTGTATTAGTACACAAGGTAAACGGCCTGTATTAGTGCACAAGGTAAACGGCCTGTATTAGTAAACAAGGTAAACGGCCTGTATTAGTACACAAGGTAAACGGCCTGTATTAGTGCACAAGGTAAACGACCTGTATTAGTACACAAGGTAAACGGCCTGTATTAGTACACAAGGTAAATTGCCTGTATTAGTACACAAGGTAAACGGCCTGTATTAGTACACAAGGTAAATTGCCTGTATTAGTACACAAGGTCATTGGCCTGTATTAGTACACAAGGTAAATGGCCTGTTTTGGTACACAAGCTAAATGGCCTGTATTAGTGCAGAAGATAAATGGCCTGTTTTGGTACGCAAGGTAAATGGCCCGTATTAATACACAAGGTAAACAACCTGTATTAGTACACAAGGTAAATGGCCTGTTTTGGTACACAAGCTAAATGGCCTCTATTAGTACACAAGATAAACGGCCTGTATTAGTACACAATGTAAATGGCCTGTATTAGTACACAAGGTAAATGGCCTATGTTAGTACACAAGGCAAACAGCCTGTATTAGTACACAAGGTAAACAGCCCGTATTAGCGCACAAGGTAAACGGCCTGTATTAGTACACAAGGTAAATGGCCTGTATAGTACACAAGGTAAACGGCCTATGTTAGTACACAAGGCAAACAGCCTGTATTAGTACACAAGGTAAACATCCCGTATTAGCGCACAAGGTAAAAGGCCTGTATTAGTACACAAGGTAAACGGCCTGTGTTAGTACACAAGATCAATCAAATGGCCTGTATATGAGTAGCGCATTCTTAGGTTCTACAACATCCCAAGGTGCTTCACAGCACAATCAGGTGATGATGAGCTACAATGTAGACACAGCTACCCTGGAGTGCGCTGACAGAGGTGAGGCCTGCCATGTCGAGGTTCCTCCTTTCGACCACCACCAGCAGGCAAGGTGGGTTAAGTGTCTTTCCCAAGGACACAACAGCAGCATTCTCTGGTAGGAGCCGGGATTGAACCTGCAACCCGCTCTATATTCATAAAAATATTCATTTTAAGGTATACGTGTAAAATTAAAATCAACATGGAAAACAAATCTTAAGAAAATATTAGATACCAAAAAAGTTATGTGTTTGGGAAAAGAACTCAGAATATAAATATTACTTTATTAGGATGTCATCAACTTTTAAATATTATACAAACATTTACAGCAAACCTTTAACTGTGATCTGACATTACACGAACAGTCAGCAGGTGTAATAAATGGTCCTTAGTGATGATCAGCAGGATTCAGCGTGGAAAAGCCCTCCTTTTTGTAAAAAAACAGACAGCAGCATTCATTTTATCAGCTGGAAACTGAAAAAATCAACTCAAATTTCAGGGAAACACAACAAAAACACAAAGATTTCAATCTACAAGTTCGTATTTCAGTTATTTTCTTCAGCAATCAGGAATAATGTTGTGTTTCCCTCTAGAAGGGATTTATAAGAAGTTTGTTTCAGAGGAAAATGAGTCATCAGGTGGAAATCGACTCATAGATGCTGCTGGGGTCAGCGGGTGAAGTAGTGGAGATGGTGGGGGTGTTATGAGGTGATCCGGGGCCCCGGGGAACCACGCTGTCTCCTGTGGGGCCCACAGCTGGGTCTGTGCTGATGCGCTCTACAATGCTGGACAAGCAGTCCAAACTGGAAATGAGCGATGTTTTATTGCTGCTGCAGTCTGCAGAGAAGAAACAAAAAGAGTTAGACTTCAAGAAAAGTTTATGTCAGGTAGATTTTCCTAAGTATGCTTACATGTTTTGTCACTTATTTGTTTGGCAATTGGAGGCAGTGGGATTTGAACCTTTAATTAAGGACAGCCGATATGGGCCGATTGTTTTGTCTTATATGTGTATATATATATATATATATATATATATATATATATATATATATATATATATATATATATATATATATATGTGTGTGTGTGTGTGTTTATGTTTATGTTGATATTTATGTTTATTCATTTAGCAGACGCTTTTATCCAAAGCGACTTACAATTTATAACCTATAGGGCATGTTGTGATCTGTGGGGGAAACCGGAGTAACCGGAGGAAACCCACGCATGCATGGGGAGAGCACGCAACTCCACGCAAAAAGGCTGCAGCTGAGTTTCGAACCTGCAACCTTCGTGCTACCCACTGCGCCACCATGCAGCCATATATGTATATATATATATATGTATATATATATATATATATATATATATATATATATATATATATATATATATATATATATATATATTTATTTATTTGTTTATTTATTTATTTATTTATTTATTTATAAAAACCATATTAGCAATTGCTTTGCTCATTTTATCCATTGTCATGTCTTCATATTTTTAAACTGAAAGGTTGGTCTGAGTCTCAAAATGACATGAACTGTAAGATAAGAACATGCAAAGTTTATGGTTCATAAGCACACATCTATTTAAAAATCGTTGTGGGACTGTACCTACTGGTAAGGCATTCAGAGGGCAAAGGGAAGATATGTCTTTAAAAAATGTGAATAAACAAAAAATGACAGCATAGAGTGAAAACATCAAAGAAGAGTGTCTAAAGCTAGACATATTCATGAAAAACTTTTAAAAATAAAGAAAATGTGAATTAATGAATTAATTCAGAATTGTTTCTATTTTATACGAAATTAGCAAAAAGAGTTTAAATAAAAAAGAAGTTCTATTTAAGAAGAGATCTTTGAAATAAAAGACTAAAGAAATGTCCTGACCCTTGGATCTGTTTGTTAATGTTAATAATATGAAATCTAATGTAAAGTAGCAGATGCACACATTTTGACTCCGGTAGATAGAGACGTGCTAAATGAGCTCACCGTCTGTTTGTCTGACATAAGAAGAATCGCTGTTTTCACTTCTGCTCGAACATGGTGAGATGAAATCCGCCTGAAAATAAAACGTAATCATCAGTGAGTGTTTAAAACCTCAGCTTTACTCAGACTCACACCCACAACACGTAGAGATGGACAAAAAGAGACATTTCAGGTTCAAAAGTTCATTAAAATTATTAATTTTTAGCACTGTTTTGAATAAGTAATATGTTCAAGTTAAAACAAATCTTATGATTAACAACAGCTCTGTGATTACACACACACACACTGGTTGGATTTAATGAGTATAATTTAGTGATTTCTTTAGAACATGTCTTGCACTGTAAAAAAAAAGATTAATTTTATTATTATTAAAGATGTGCTCTCACCCCACATCATAAAGTTGAGATGTCTAAATATAATATGTATATATAATATGTTGTTTTTAAATGTGTAAATAAAACAAAAACTGGTGTTCAGTTTATTATTTAGAAAGAGAAGAATTTGATTTGATTAAAAAAAACAACTAAATCAACAATGTTGGTTTTTGTCCACGGTAACTCTCACAGAGTTTAACATTTCCCCTCCTGGTACTCTAATGTGCGCTACTTGCTCAATGAAATGATGAAAATGATAAAAATGTTACGTTAAGTCAGAAGAACGGTCCAGGGATTAGAGATGACAAATAACATTTTGGTAAATATGACACATCAACAGTACGCTGATAATACTCACCACCACCCAAATCAAGTAAAGCACATAAAGTTTTCAGCCTGAAATAAATAACTTCAGCATCAAATAACACCTTTTGCTTTAATATTAGTCAATTCTGTAGTAATAAAACAAAAAAAGATTTTTTTGTAACTGAAAGACAACATTTTGACAAACTTTCTGTTTAGGTGCAAAACATTTGAAATCCACTGGGATCCATGCTAAAGGTTGCATTTGTCCAGATTAATCACCGTGGCCCAAAATAAATCTCCCGTCACATTCCTTACATTTCGTGGGGCAGCACATGAACCCTTCAGCTGTTCCCAGACTCACCGTGCCGTCGGAGCAGTTGGAGTGGGTGCCGGGGGAGTCCGACCCCCCGCTGTAGTGCTCCAGCGGCGGGTAGAAGCTGTCGTTCTGGCCAGCCCGCAGCAGCGCCTGCAGAGACTCGATGTAGCTGATGGCGTTCCGTAGGATCTCCACTTTGGGCAGACGCTGGTTTGGATTGGAAGCCGTGCACCGCTTCAAAGTTTCAAATGCATCGTTGACTTTGCTGAGCCGCCGTCTTTCTCGCATGGTGGCTGCTTTCCTCCGATCTGCGTGCGTTGTCTTCCTCTTGCAGGCCTTACAGGCCCACAGCAGGCAGTGGCCCGCCTGATGGAGGCCTCCAGGGGCCCGCACATGCTGGTCCTCCTCCTCTGATGATGGGACGTGGTGATGAAGGTGGTCCTCTGACTTCAGCAGGCCGCCGTGTGACAACCGGGCATCCAAATCATCGAAAAAGTTCAGGTCGCTGGTGCTGAAGCAGGGGTCATAGAGGTCATCAGTAGATGAAAGAGGGAAATGAAAATCTGACAAATCCATTGAACGACTCCCTGAAAGCAGCAGCAGAAAGTCTTTTTGTTGTGACACTCCTCTGATATCAGACTTTAGAAGGAAATCCTCATGAAGTGTCTCCTAGGACGACTCGCAAATCTCAAACTCATCTGACCAGAACATAGTAAAATGACAGAGCGTTTAAAGGGCCAGTCTGTGTAACCTCAGCTGCTTTGGCTTGGTCCGGGTTTATATAGCAGTCAGTGTGGAGGCGGGGCCACGACCCAAGTGACCAATGGTGCAGTCGGGTGTGAGTGTGTGTGTAAAGGGGACGAAACATAAAGAGGAAGCAATAAAAACGACAGTCAAGTCCATCATCACAAATCAAAGAGTCAGCTGTTGAGTCCTTGTTCAACTCTGAGGGATCAAACACGTCATCACACACAAAAAAGAAAAGACTGAACCTCTTTACATCCAGACTCATCAGCTCAAAAAACGTATCTTATCCAAACATGAGCGTTTAGAACTCCTGCGCTGAGATTCAGGATTCATCTGAAATGAATCTCCTCTTTCATGAGATCGGAACAGGAAAGATTTGTACTCATGAGCTTTTATCAGAGAACCCAGACATGATTTCAGCGTTTACTAGACCTGATAGAGTTGAGCTCACAGCAGTCTCAGCATCAGAACAGTTTAGTTACTTTATATCTTCAGTACTGATCTAAATGACCCGAGAAACACGCTAATCCTAGTCCAGCACAAATATGTGAAACGGTATTAGTAAAATGCTCTGATTTAATCATATGCTCTATGTTTTTCAACACAAATATTTAACATGAAATGTGTTTTAGAAGTCTTGAAAAACATACATGAAGTGTCTCTGACATCATTTGTCCAATAAAAAGGAACCATAACATTTGTCTTCTTTTGGAGCCATGATATTGCCTTTTGGTTTCCAATAACTAACACAACTAAACAAACTATAACACAGCAGGGCAGAGACCCCTGGAAGACTGCATCTGAGGTAAAACTATCTTATAACCTCGCAAAACCTAAATACTTTTTGTTTTTTTTTTTCTATAAATCTTGTTCAGATCAGTAGGACTTTATAAAAATTATAATTTTTACACAACTTGAACACAACACGTCATTGCACTTCATTTGTTTTCCTAACATCAAAATCTCAACAGGCATCTAATATTCTCTCTCTCTCTCTCTCTCTCTCTCTCTCTCTCTCTTTCTTTCTCTTCTATCTCTCTTTTCTTTCATTTCCCTCTCTCTCTTTCTTTCCTCTCTCTATTTCTCTCTCCCCTCTCTTTCTTTCTTTCTCCCCCCTCCCTCTCTACTCTCTCTCTGTCTCTCTCTTTCTTTCTTTCTTTTCTCTCTCTCTCTCTGTCTCTATGTAGGCATGCATGTGTGCATGTATGCATGTGTGCGTGTGTGTGCGTGTGCGTGTGCGTGTGCGTGTGTATGTGTATGTGTATGTGTATGTGTATGTGTGTGTGTGTGTGTGTGTGTGTGTGTGTGTGTGTGTGTGTGTGTGTGTGTGTGTGTGTGTGTGTGTGTGTGTGTGTGTGTGTGTGTGTGTGTGTGTGTGTGTGTGTGTGTGTGTGAGTGTGTGTGTGTGTGAGGGAAAGTGAGACACAAGAGTCAGACAAAAAATATTTTCCGTCATCATCATCGTGGTCTTTATTGCCAGTAAACAGCTGCTGCTGGACTCTGGATGATGACCTGATGTCTGATTTATTTATTTATTTGTTATTTTTATATATGAGAGCATTTTAGAAACATCTGCAACACGTCATCCGAATCATAGATGAGAATTTCATAAACTGTACTCTTTTCCTGAAAGTCTTGAATGAAGAAAACTCTTTTAAATTTTTAAACATGTTTCATCTTTTCATTTTTTAAATTTGACTGAACACAAACCGGTTTAAGGTAAGGCTGCCTTATATTCACAATGCCATTCAAAAACATTGTTTTCTGAAAATAGCCAAAAAACTAAACATCCACTGATTTTTGGGGAGTTTGTTAATGAAAAGTCTGGTTATGTTAAAAGCTTCAACACATGATCATGTTTCCAGGTTTGTTAACCCCCCACAAACTGACCGATGAACATGAGCACATCCAGCCCAGTAATGTGAGACATAGAATTTCATCTGCAGTGACTGAAATGAATCTGAAAGAGCATTCCTGTGAAGGTGTTAATCTCACGGTTTCACATGTCCCACCTCATGCGTTCACAGACATGTGAAACTGCAGTTTCCAAAGAACCGCATCCAATTCTTGGTAATATTTCTTATTTTATCCATTTCCTCCATGGGTAAATTATTACTGGGACTGGTTTAACATCCAGCTAACATTAAATAGTTTAAAGCCCAAGTTCAAAAAGAAACCAATTTTTACTTGTAATTTGTTAAATATGATCTGTCCAACTGAGTTTAACATACAAGCTGAATGTGAAAATAGTCTCCTACCCCATTTCCTGCATTTGCCGCCAGTAGCAAACAGACAGGAAAACACTTTGATAAGAAAGCCTGACAGATCTATGTCACACTGAAAATTAGCATTCATGGACTCACCCATCTTGGTACACAATGTCAAGGCAAGACAATCCAACCACCAAGCATTAGCATCTCCACCACACAGCAGAAGCCCTTTAGGTTTGTGGTTTGTGTGTAAAGCATTAACAATGCAGAGCAAACAGTCAGAGGTAGAGTTATGTAGCTGTTAGCCAGTCAGACACCAATCAAACAGAAATAAAACAACAAATCCTGTCCTCTTTTGCTCTGTCTCCTCTCCTCACTTCTTCCTGAAACAGGAGCGCCAGAGCTTTTTTTCCCCCACAGAGATCAACTCACAAGGCATTAATTTCTACTAGAGACCCGAACTTGGTCTTTAAAAGAAGAAACTCATGTTTAAAAATCGCTGACTAGTTTGTTTTCAAAAGACTGGACATTTATTTAAATTTTTATTGGATGAATGTTAAAAGGAGCCTTTATTGAATTTTATACCATATTTTACAAATTCTACATCAAGACTAATTCTTTTTCGTAGAGGTTTTGGATGTTTTGTTTTCTGAATAAATCAGGAAGATGAAACAAGATGATTTAACTCTTTTCTTATTTCATAGATTTGTTTTCGTCTGTTTTTGAGATTTCATAACGTTCTGCTGTAAAAGCCAGCACTGCTCAGTTCCTTTGTTCCAATAATTGATACCAGGGCCATCACCACCTCCAGGAAGGTTGTTTTTGTTGTTGTTGCTCTGATTTCCACCCATTGGGGAGGACACGTCAGAGAACCTGGTGACAGGAGCTCCACCATCAGCTGATGTGTGAGGACACAGAAGGGTGGGGAGATCTGCTTGAATGCACCAACACTCTGGGAAATATCTTGACCCAAAATGTATCAAATGAACACAACAATTATTCATGTGCATTTTTGCACTTATTAGGCAGGGTTTAATGTTAATTATTCTATGGAAGGACCTCTCTAGATTTCCTGAAAGATAAAACTAAAGTCATTTTGTTGTGTTTCTCTGTGAAGATGAAAGACTGATCTGAGGAGGGAATCCATAACTACTAAATAACTCTTTGATGAAAACAAAATGACGGTACTTTGGCAGATGTTGCTCTGAAATTAGTTTTGTGAAATGTAGAGGAACCGATCTTGTTTTAGTCTAACATCATTGTGAAGCGACTCCGACTGATGGAAAAAAAGTAAATTCTGTGATCGTCTTTCATGGGGACTCGTAACATTTTATTTGAAAACGGCAGAAATCCATAAGAAATTTCAGGAACAACGACAATAAAACAATAATCTTGTTGAAACTTCTGTCAGATTCTGAAAGCGGTCGAGGAGTCACGTTTGAGCAACTGGAGCTAATTGACTTGAGGCCAGAGCGAGCAGCTGCTGCTGCTGCATGCTGGCATGCAGCTAAAACCTCTCTGTTGTTGCACGGCTCACTTTCTGTTCGCACTCTACTTATAATACCAAGAATATGAGTCACTAACAATGTAGTTGCAGTTACCCACACTGGTGACGGGGCTAGTGGGAGCGAACCTACTTGAGAACCTTCGTATTTATGAGCGAACTGCTTTCTTAGAGCTTAAACCTGCAAAACCAGCTAGCTTAAACATTTTTTCATGTCTTTAGCAACATTCTCATATTTTATAGCTATACATCATTTGAGGAAATTTTAAAAATCAAAAAGAAATGAATAATCTCTTGCGTGTGTCTAAAATCCTCAATCAGTGATACGACTCAGACCAAAAGCTGGGCATTCTGTCAGTCTTGCCCAACTGCCACACTTCTGCGTTTACTTGGGTCCTCCGCTCATTTAGCTTTTCTGCATTTTGCAAAAGAACACCACTGATGTGAGAGGTTCTCCGCTCAGTAATATGACAGAAGGAGATACAGCAGGCTGCTACCACTTCAACTTTAGGACAAACTACCAGAGGCTCAAAAAGAAAAACAACCTTTGAAGTTGCGGACAACAAAGTATATTTGGAACTAGAAAATGCCGACTTGGGGTTTGTGCTTGTTAATGTGTTTTATATACACGTTCCAATATCCAGCAGGCATGGTCTGGGGGTGAAGCCCAACAAGAGGGGTGAAAGTTAGGTTAGTAAGTTGCTGCACACCAAACTGTCAGTAACAAACTAAAATCTGTTTAAACAACACACAATTTATTGTTATTATTGAAAAAACATTGAGTTTTCTGCTCATGTGTATGCTCTTTTTCTACACCTTTTCAAACCTTTGACAAAGATATTTGTGTCATCAGAAAAACGAAAGAAAAGAAGTATGGCAGGAAGCGGAAAGTTCAATGAAAAAGATCAGCGGTAACGGACCATTGCACGAGGGAAAATCTCATGATGGATTGGAACAGCACACGGAACCACAAAAATACAGAAGATGGATTAAGGAAGCGATGGAGATAAGGAGACGCGGACACAACACCATGAACAGAGACGACAGAGTTTACACATTGGATCACACATGGGACTGTGTTATCAGCATGGAGGATGCGGGCAGCAGAGGGCGACATCGTCCTCTGCTGCCCGCACATAATCGGAAGTGACGCCACGAACAGCTGGCGGCTCTGAGGAAGGTGGAAGTTCCGGCCGAAACATCTAATTACTTCACTGTGTTAAATAAGAAAAAAGAAGATGATTAAGAAAGAAAACAATATTTTACATAGCACCTCTCAAGATAAAAATCACAAGGTGCTTCACAAGAAAAAATATTCTAAATATAAAAATGATTTTTACTAAATGGTTTAAAATATGGTTAAAATTTGAAATAAATATTGTGATTAATAAATGGAAGGAAAGGGAAAGAGCAGAACAAGGAGAGGGTGATGAAGGTCACACCAAAGCCAGCTTGAACAGGTAAGTCTTCAGCTGCTTTTTAAAGGAGACCACTGAGTCCACTGAGTCCAGGCTCAGGGGGAGAGAGTTCCAGAGTCTGGGGTCTTTAGCCTGGTGCGCTGTGCAAGCAGCAGGCTTTGGTCACTGGACCTCAGGGACCTGCTGGAGGTATAAGGACTAAGGAGATCACCAATGTATGATGGCGCATGTCCATGTACACAATACACAATTTTAAACCTCCAATGTAGGAATCAGACCTCCACAATTCTCCGAAAGTGAATTGGGGAGACCGAAAACAACAAATAAATAAGAAAATAATTTCAACAGCCTGAAAACCATCAAGACAAAGATGGCTGAGATTCAAGCTAAACAGAAAGAGAAATAAATGCTCATATTGTTTCTATTGTTAATTGTCTTTAAAGAGCTGGTTCACTGAAAATCCGTGCTTTACTTAGAATACTTAGTTAGATTTTTAGAAAAGTATCCAATCTGATCACTCTGAGTTCTTCATGCAGACTGAAAATGAAAATAGTCTTCT